TTCTGTTCGAACCACAGTGACATCTAGAGGTTGTTTTGTGCATAACATGTCAACCAAATGGTAGAGCTGGCTGAATCAGATGGAGTTCAACTTTTTATTTATTTTTCCAACAACATATCAAGACACAAGATGTGCTCTACCAAATGGGGGCGCTGGCAGTTAAAGGGAGCAAATGGCTGCACCAGTGAAGATTGAGATCTGTTGTGAGGAGGCGGGGCTTATCTCCATGTAGATACCAACAACAACAAAAGCTTTCTGTGATGAAACAGAAACACATGCACTAAATGATGGCGAAACAACATATTGATACCGGTTGATTTATTTGGAACCTTTATTCATATATTTTTCTGTTTCAGTGAAAGGTGCGCTTTGCTCAGGTGAAGGGGCGAGGCTAAAGCTTTAAATTACAAAAGGGGATATTGTTGTTTTTTTTTGTAGTGTCAAAGCTGGAGAGCAGAGTAGATTGGAATAAATGCAGAAGATATTTTCTTTAAACAAAATTCCTTTCTTGGCGATTGTTAGAGAATATTTCTTCTCTCTTCCTAAGTGTCAAATAATAATTCTTCCTTACTCCTAAGATATTTAACCTTATTGCCTGTTGACGTTTACGACCAAACCCTGGCCCTGTTATCTCTCTTAAGGAATGGGAGGCTCCAGCTATCTTGATAAACCAGTTCAACTCTCGGTCACACAATTGTTTATGGCTGTGGGAATGCTGGCTTCTAAACACCAATGACAAGTGATTGAGTATTTCTAGTAGGGGAATATTTCCTCTAGCTCCACAGATGTTTACGCCTCCCCCAATATGCTGATTAACTCTCTGTAAACTAGTTAAAAGGTCTATCGAGAGATAGGCTGGTCAGAATTGACATGACAACCCACCCGTGCAGTCAGAACCTTTTGCTGCTGTGACTTGTGATATGAATTATCCGGCCGTTGACTTGTAATCAACTACCAGTGTTTGACATCAAAGCTCCAACTCTCCTCGTGTCTCTCTGAGTCCTGACTCTCCATTGCTGCAGAAGTTTCCCTTACAGCGATAGACCCAGAATTCAGGGAGCTGGGTCAGGCAAAACAGAAACTCTCTCTCAAAATAAACGTCCCACATCAAGATTAGAAATGTGTACGTAAATCTTTAAGACATAAAGTTGATTGAATTATATCAATGCGTTCGGGATGTATACATTTACCAACAAGTACAATAAGAATATGACAAAATATAAATACATAAAATATGAACACAGTCAAAGACTTTAAGAAGCCGAAAAAAAATAATTACAATACTCATTACATAAGAATGCCAGATAAGATTTAAAACATGATGACCATAAGCAAAACATATCATTTCACTGGCAACAACACCTTAACTGATAACCAGCAGCTGCTCCTCCTCAACTGCTGTGCACATAAATCCCCAAGGATCCCCCCCCCCCCACACACACACACACACACACACACACACACACACACACACACACACACCACACACACACACACACACACACACACACACACACACACACACACACCACACACACACACACACACACACACACACACACACACACACACACACACACACACACACACACACACACACACACACACACACACACACACACACACACACACACACACACACACACACACACACACACACACACACACACACACACACACACACACACACACACACACACACACACACACACACACACACACACACACACACACACACACACACACACACACACACACACACACACAATAATATAGTAGAGTATTTTTATAGGCTAATACTTTTGTACTTTTACTCTGCGGTATGTAGGGAACACAGGGCTTGTACCCTCTGCAGACCATGTACATGCACATAGTGACATCGACCATGTGGAGAGGGAACAGCACAGAAAGCAGAATAGGGGCTGATGTAACAAACAAACACCATGCTTGGCGTTCAGATCCCTTTCTCGTGTGGACTTGGTTGAGCTATAACTGGGAGTGATACCATTTGAAAATAATCCCTGTAGCAGGACATTCATGGGAGAGAGACCGATGGTTTGAATAAGACAACACACGGGAAAAGTACTTTCTTAAAGTTATTGATCTCCTGACATCAGTGTGGTTGGGTTGCTCTGTCTTGTTTGTTGCCTGGAAACACTTAATACAATTCAACCCTGGTGTTCGGTTCTGTGGGACCTGTGTGTGTGTGTGTGTGTGTGTGTGTGTGTGTGTGTGTGTGTGTGTGTGTGTGTGAGACTTTTGTGTTTCTGCTCCTGCCTTTCCTGCAGCATGGTGGATAGATTGAAGCACCGACTCCTGTCTGCTCTCACATTCCCGCGGGAACCGATCTTTATTTGTTCCCACTCTATCCCAGCTGCATGTTTGGGTCCTCATCACAAAAAGCACTTTCTTTCAAGATAAGATCCAATCTTCCTATTCCAATCCTAAAAAACTATTTTCCATCTTCTCCACCCTCTTGGACCCTCCAAAAGCTCCTCCCCCCCTCCTCACTTCTGTCAAGCGACTTTGTTACCCACTTTGAAAAAAAGGTTAATGATATTCGCTCTTCTTTTTCTGACTCACCTTTACTCACCGCTGGGTCACCAGACCTTCCTTCCACCAACACACTGACCTCCTTTTCCCCTCTCTCTCCAAGTGAGGTTCTTACCCTCATTACCTCTGCCCGCCCTACCACCTGTCCTCTGGACCCTATCCCTTCAAACCTCCTTCAGACTATCGCTCCTGATATTCTACCGTTTCTCACCCATTTCATCAACACTTCTCTAACTTCTGGTCACTTTCCAAACAGTCTCAAGGAGGCAAGAGTAAACCCTCTCCTAAAGAAACCCACTCTCAACCCGTCTGATGTTATAAACTACAGGCATGTCTCTCTCCTCCCGTTCCTGTCTAAATCACTTGAACGCGCTGTCTTTAAACAACTCTCCTGTTATCTCAATCAGAACAACCTTCTGGATCCGCACCAGTCTGGTTTCAAGGCAGGTCACTCCACAGAAACTGCTCTCATTGCTGTCACTGAGGAACTGCACACTGCCAAAACTGCATCCCTCTCCTCTGTCATCATCCTGTTGGACCTGTCTGCTGCATTCGACAAGGTGAATCATCAGATCCTCCTTCGCACTCTCCAAAAACTTGGAGTTTCAGGCTCTGCACTTTCCCTCCTCACCTCATACCTGAAAGACCGTACCTACAGGGTGACTTGGAGAGGGTCTGAGTCCGACTCTTGTCAATTAACTACGGGGGTCCCTCAGGGCTCTGTTCTTGGTCCCCTCCTCTTCTCCTTGTACACAAACTCGCTCGGATCAGTCATTAGCCCGCATGGTTTTTCTTACCACTGCTACGCTGACGACACCCAATTAATTCTGTCCTTTCCCCCGCTCAGAGACCCAGGTCGTCGCACGCATCTCTGCTTGTCTAGCTGACATCTCTCAGTGGATGTCTGATCACCACCTCAAGCTCAACCTTGACAAGACTGAGCTGCTCTTCCTCCCGGGAAAAGATTGTCCAACTCTTGACCTGACAATCAACATCGGCACCTCAGTTGTTTCCCCGACTCAGACTGCAAGGAATCTGGGTGTGACCCTAGATAACAACCTGTCCTTCACTGCAAACATCGCTGCTACAACCCGCTGCTGCAGATACACGCTTTACAACATCAGGAGGATACGTCCCCAGCTGACTCAGAAAGCGACTCAGGTTCTGGTCCAGGCTCTCGTCATCTCACGCCTAGACTACTGCAACTCCCTCCTGGCTGGTCTACCTGCATGTGCCATCCGACCTCTGCAGCTCATCCAGAATGCAGCGGCTCGTCTGGTTTTCAACCTTCCTAAATTCTCCCACACCACTCTGCTCCTCCGCTCCCTTCACTGGCTTCCGGTAACTGCTAGAATCCACTTCAAGACACTGGTACTTGCTTACCGTGCTGCGAATGGATCTGGCCCTTCCTACATCCAGGACATGGTTAAACCGTACACCCCAGCGCGTGCACTACGCTCTGCATCAGCCAAACGACTCGTTGCGCCCCTCGCTGCGAGGGGGACCCAAGTTCCCATCGGCGAAAACACGTGGGTTTGCTATCCTGGCTCCAAGATGGTGGAATGAGCTCCCCATTGACATCAGGACGGCAGATAGCTTGCACATCTTCCGGCGCAAACTGAAAACTCATCTCTTTCGACTCCACTTCGAGCGTTAGAACGATTAACGAAGCACTTTTATACTAATAAAGGACTGGATTACCTAAAGCCAGTTGAGTAGCACTTGAAATGTTTGGCTCTATGAAACCTGATATACTTATATGATTCTGTTTTCTTCAAGGTTGTGTCTTCCTGGTCGAATGTACTTATTGTAAGTCGCTTTGGACAAAAGCGTCAGCTAAATGCAATGTAATGTAATGTAATGTAACTGATCAAGATGGCCAACAGATGATTTTGGAAGAGAGAGAACCATTTGATGATGATGTAGAGGAAGAGGCTTCAGAATGCGAGTCTGACAGTGACTTTGAAGAAGAGGAGGAGATTGAAGAAGAGGAGGAGATTGAGAATCAGCTAGTTACTAACAACAGCCGAGCCACAGGACCAGCCGCTCAGCGTGCAAACAAACAAATAGCACTTGAATTCATCAATGTAATTTATATTGCTTGTCATTGGGATGAAGTGAACATCTGTTGAGCATTTTAACATCACATAGTTTGATTGTGTTGAATTGAAACCCAAAAAGGCAGCGGGTCCACCAGACCCACGAACTCTGGCTGAGTGACAACACGAACACCACACAAGGGTTTAGAGAAACATAGATCAAACCCAGAAACTGCTTTCCTTGGAAAAGTCCTCGTGTCCCGAATGAGACAAAGTCAATCTTTCGCAGGATGCTGTGTGAAGTGGAGGAGGTCATACCCTTCCTCCTCTTCTTCATCCTCCTCCTCTTCTCCTCCTCCTCCTCCTCCTCCTCATCCTCCTCCTCCTCCTCCTCCTCCTCCTGCAGCCCCTAAAAGACGAGGACCTCTGCTTGTGTTCAGAGGGAGCAGGAGGAGCGGCACGTCTGTAAGTAACTTCTCTATGTTTGTGTGCATTGATGGAAATGTGGATTTAGTTTGTTGAGTTAAATGTAACTCTTCCGACTCACCCTTTAGATCTGCAGAACACAGCTTTACCCTGATTAAGGATGTCTTCAACTTAAACGTTTTCAACTTTTTAAATGCTGTTTTATTTCTATTTTGAGATGTTTACATTTTAGAATTGTTTATTTCTACTCTTTTAATTTCTACTTATGTGCAATGCCTTGTTTTTTGATGCTGCTGCGATGCAAGCATTTCCTAATTTGCGATCAATTAAATACTTCTTATCTTATCTGCAGGTGTCATTACTGTAAGGCAGTCTTTCTCAAAGAGTGGTCCGCGAGTATATTTGTAAAATGCCACATTTGAAATTCATATTATAAGTTTAAAGTGTTTCTCAAACTGACGCAAAAGTTGACCCCATGAAACTCACACATGAAGTCAACATGGTACCAATATCTATGTTTGAAACGTATTAACTTTGTTTCTAATTGTATCTGATATGAATATTAACACTTTCCCATTTTTAAATAAAGTTTCAAATTATCTTCTACAATATGTGGTATATTCTGTTTTAGGAAGCTGGTCCAGAGCAACATGTTGGAGAGATTAAAATCCACTTCAACACATTCCTCTGACTCACTGTTGTATACTCTAGATCAGGGGTGCCATACTTTTTTGGCTGGTGAGCTACTTTTGAAATGACCAGCTCACCGAGGTCTACCAACCCAAAATAAAATCCCAAATTGCAAGGGTTGCTGAATAACACGTTTTATTTATACATGGGATAATAGGGCTGCAACAAACGACTAATTTGATAATCGATGAATCTATCGATTAATGAAACGATGAATCAACTATTCGGACTATTACTGTATGCCTTGCATAATTTCTCTCTATCAACTTGTAGATGTAGCTTGAGGTTGTTTTAGGCATGTGGAAACTAACAATGAAGACAATAAAGATGAAGACTTGATTCAAAAATACATATATTATTAAATTAACTTAACAAATTGTGAACAAAATTAACATTGCTTTTTATTAATTAAATAAATAATATTTCACATCAAAAGAAACAGTGTTTTAACAAATCGTATTAAATAATCTGATAACAGAACTGTAAACAGAATAGCTGAAACTTTAACAAAATAAAGAGTAACTCAGTTCCCTCTAATCATTAACCCATGTTTGTATCATGGTGTTAACTCAGTGTTGCTGCTAGCATACATAACACCTGATGTGGAAACGTTCCTCGTGGATGGAGCTACAGAGCTACTAGAAAGACAATCGAGCCCGGTGCATTCCTCAGTCTGAATGTGGAGCACTTTTGCTAAATGTTTAGACACATTGCTCGTGTTGCCGCCCTTACATGCTAAACACTCTTGGCAACGAGCATTGTCCGCCTCAAGACGGGTAACATTTAACCACACCTTGGAGCGCTTCTCTCCGCCATCTCCTCCGTGTGTTGCTGCATGTACTGGAGCAGCCGTGTGTGTAAACTGCCCCGCCCCCTCGCGCACAGACTGGGGAGAGAGAGATCTCGTCTCGATTGGAAAGGTCGACAATACACCGACCATAGACGCATTTGTTTGTCTTTTTGCATGTTAGAAACGAGTTGGCGACACTAAGACTGCGAGCTAATGTTTGTGTAGCATTAATACATGACCTTTCTCTTTCTCAACTCACTACTCGGAGGGAAGTCGCTGTCATATGCCTTGTGAACGCTCCGATAATCCCTCTCCACGTTACCTTTCTTTGGCAGAGCGACGCTTGCTTTACAAATAATAACCTTTGAATGTGATGTTAAGTGTAAGTATTAATGTCTGCATGTAACTGCACTAGAACTGTTCCACAGTAAGAGGGCGCTATAGGCGTAAGGAGGCGCAGCTATTGTAGCTGACGTCAGGTATTAGATATAAGGGATTGTTCCCTCCCCTTCTATCTCTCTCTCTCTAGCTCTCATGGGGAGCAGGTCAAGTGGTGCAATGCACATATGAAAATAAACCACGCCAGTTAAGGCTAAAGAAGACCTCGTCGTCATGACCAGTTTATTGCTATACATGTGACTCTGTCAACAGGTTATGGGCCCAGATCACGGAAGAGCGAAATAACGATAGCTAGTTAGCTGAAAAGTTTAGGCTAGTTTAGCGGCGGGAAAACCGCGGGACGCTAAAGCTAAGCTAACGGGCTAAGCTACAATCAAAAGATGGCGACCAGAGGCAGAAGCAAGTGGCCCACGTTTGACGGAAGGGCAGAAGAATACGCGCTCTGGGAAGAGCGGATGTTGTGCTGTATGCACGGAGTCGGGCTGAAAAAGACAATTTTCACGGGCCTAACGGGAGAAATAACGGAGGCCGCGCGAGCCCTGGATACTAAGCTGAACGCCGACGCATACTGCGAACTAGCACCACTCCAAGACAACACAAGCTTGGGGCTGATATTCCCGGGACACAAAGGACAAAGGCCGAGAGAGTCTAAAAGTGTTAAGAGAACACTACATCGGCAGAGGTAGGCCCCGGATTGTATCCCTGTATATAACATTGACCGCGCTGAAGAAAGCTAACACAGAGACTGTGACTGAATACGTCATCAGGGCGGAACAGATCATCACAGCGCTCAAAAGTGCAGGAGACGCACCGAGCGATGGACTAATGATGGCGATGGTTATGAGGGGACTACCGGAGATGTATAAACCGTTCACACTGTTGGTGACGCACGGTTCAGCGGACATGTCGCTGGGGGAGTTCAAGGCCAAGTTGCGGAACTTCGAGGCCTCAGAAGACTCAGACCCGGTCGCCGAGGAGGCGGGAGAAAGGGTAATGAAGGCCCGGGCAGCGCCAAAGAAAAAGACCGGACCCCCGACGGAGATGGCGTGTTGGCGATGTGGAGAAAAGGGTCACCGAAAGGATAATTGCACAAAAACTGTTTGGTGTAGTTTCTGTAAAACTTCGGGACACGCAGACAGAGTGTGTAGAAAGAAGCGCGAACAGAGCGCTCGGTACGCGTGCGTGCAAGATGGCAGCTGTGGACAAGATGGCGGCAGCGGTGGAAGTGAGGCGAGTCGAGACGACGCCCGGAGAGCAGCGGGAAGAGAGGACTTCACCTTCGGGGCGCAGACAGCATACGCCAGCCGGTCGCAGCAGCAGCAGGCCCAAAGGAAGGGACTGATCGTGGACACAGGTGCGTCGTCCCACATTATCAACGACAGGAACCGATTCAAGAACTTTGACAGCACCTTCGAGCCGGAGAGACACAGCATGGAGCTGGCAGACGGGAAGCGCACTTTCGGGTTGGCGCACGGGAGAGGAGACAGTGAGGGGCGCCGGTGTACAGTGACGTTGAAGAACGCCCTCTACATACCCTCGTTCCCCCAATAACTATTTTCTGTAAAATCTGCTGCTGCAAATGGTGCCAAGGTGTTCTTCAATGAAGGTAACGATGTTCTTGTGGAGCCTGACGGTACGAGATTTAACATTGAGGTGTACAAGAGAATGTATTATCTACAAACAGAATGTAATGAAAATGATGTGTGTAATGTCAGTCATGATATTCAGACATGGCATGAGATCATGGGTCATTGTAATTACGAGCATATACTGAAGCTGCAGGCGGTAATGCACATTAACGGTGAAAAGCATAGACCTAACAAAGAATGTGATGTGTGTATAAAGGGAAAGTTCACTCAAACAAGGAACTGAGGTCCCACAGAAAAAGTAAATACACCACTTGAGCTAGTTAACACAGATCTAGCCGGTCCAGTAAATAATGAGTCCATAGGTGGCTTTAAATATATGCAGTCTTTCACAGATGTGTATACAGGGGCAGTGTTTGTTTACTTTCTCAAAGCAAAGAGTGACGCACTTCAGGCCACAGAGAAATTCCTTGCAGATGTAGCTCCGTATGGCAGCGTAAAATGCCTGAGGTCCGACAACGGAACAGAGTTTACAAATAGAGAGTTTCAGTCACTGCTGAGAAGGAGCAAGATCAGACACGAGACGTCCTGTCCTTACTCCCCGCACCAGAACGGGATAGCTGAGAGGGAAGGGCGCACTCTTTTCGAAATGGCTAGGTGTAAGCTAATAGACGGTAACTTACCTAAGAGTCTCTGGCATTATGCGGTCCAAGAAGCAGCTTACACCATAAATCGGTGTTTTAACAAGCACACGGGCACCACCCCATATACAGCACTGACAGGAAAAAGGTGTGATCTAGCCAGGATGCACAAGTTTGGGTCAGTGTGTTATGCTTACCAACAGCAGGGCTCGACATTATAATTGGCCCGCTGGCCCGGAGGCACTATTTAGACACCCCGGGCCAGCATAACGTACTTTCCACTTGCCCGCTCGGGACACTAAAAACAGTAAGACATACATTCACATTGTTCTGTGATATTGGTATTTTGACAAGCAATTTTGTTAGATTGTTCCGTTTATTAACGCTACAACATCGCGCTCTACTCTGCAGCTGTTTGTTGCGGAGTAGCGCGCAGGCTCTCGTTCGCCTGCAGCGGGAGTAGGCCCGTGCACGCGCAGCTCGAGCCTGCTCGCGCTGCCTAACCATTCGGCAAAATGTTTTTAAAACCACCAGTAACCGGCCAAGCGCCGGGCAAAAAACAGTCCTTAAATAAAAGAAAGTCACCGGAGGAGTTAAAAGAGAGTGACAGGGAGTACGAGAAGAAGAAGAGGGAGAGAAAGTTTCAGGCACGCTGGCTTGATCGTTGGAGTTGGCTTGAATATGATGCCAATATAAACAAGGTCTTCTGTCGGCTCTGTACATCAATGCCGACCTATGCTGACAAGTAAGTGAAGAGTAGAACATATTATGGTATATTCGCTATAGGGAAATGTCCCAGCAGTTTAGGACAAGGAAGGCTAGAGGCTAATATATTATAGCCATTACATGTCTAACTCCTGATAATGGCAGGAAGGCAGAAAGCGCATTATACAAATAATAATACTCATACCATAGTGTCACCCTCCTTTTTATTTTATTTAAAAATGACCACAATATCATTATTTTAATAAACCAAATATGAACAATTGCTTTATAGAAATGTATAGTAGGCCTAGCTAGTTAGTGGCTAGCTAGTGGCTATTTACATATGATATTTAAGCAGCAGATTGTTTTGCTTGTTTAGGGACTCTCCACTCTTCAAGGGCCAGGTAGCAGAACGCTCCACAGGGTTTGACCCGCATGAAAAAAGCACCTCACACCAGGTGTGTGTGAGGAGGCAGAAGGCAGCAATCGAAACACCCGCTGTGTTAGCTGGGATTCATGTTAATGGTGAAATAGATGCAGGTTTCCAGGATAAAATGGAGGATATGTTTCATACAGCGTACTATGTTGTCAAGAAAGAAAAGCCATTTACTGACTTTCCGGACCTGGTGCAGCTCAACAGTAGGACTGGCTCCAACATGACCAATTGTTACTTATCAGACAAGGCATGTTTAAGGTGAGAATAACAAATACATTAATACTGTACATTCCAAATGTACTATTTAATTAACTTTTTACAATTCCTTCATTATTAATGAAATTCCCTTTTTTTACCTTCAGATTCACAATTGATATCTACAATGTGGAGAGGGAGCAACTGCTTTCTGACCTAAAGAATGCAGGCTATATCAGTGTGATGATTGACGGGGCAACTGATACTGGGAACCTTGAGAATGAGATTGTCTATGTCACGTTCTTCAATAAGGAGAGAGGAGTGGTTCAGTCCTTCCTTGGCATTGAGGATGTCAAACACGCACATGCAGATGGTGTACTTTCTGCAGTACAGACAGTGTTTGAAAAAGCAGGTCTGGATAACTGGAAGGAAAATGTGGTTTTCCTATGCGCTGATGGTGCGGCTGTCAATTTGGGGAAGAGGAATGGTGTGGCTGCAAAGCTGAAGGAAGAGATTGGACACCTGCTTGCTATACACTGTGTGGCACACAGGCTGGAATTAGGTGTTCAATAAAAGAGAATCAGAGGCTGAAGCAGCTGCAGGAGGTGCTGCAATATTTGCATCAGCAATACCACTACTCTCCAAAGGCACTGAGGGAGCTGAGGATGCTGGCAGATGCAATGGAGGAGAAGGTCCTCCAGCCTACAAACCTGAAGGGGTCCAGGTGGTTGCCCTACATCCACAAGGCAACACAGATCCTGTGTAATAGCTATGCAATCTTTGTGGCCCACTTTGAGGACCAGGTCAGCCCAGAGAGGACAACCCGACCTACACCTGCAGTGATGGGAAGGGCAAAGAACATCCTCCACTACCTCAAAAGCCACACCAATGTCCAGTTCATGCACTTCCTGCTGGATACACTGGACTTTCTCAAGGCACTGAGCCTCCAGTTTCAGCAGGATAGTCTGACACCAGGGGAGGCAGTGCAGTACATTGAGGCCTGCCTCAATGGCCTTACAGAGCTGTGTCTGGAGCCCGGAGAGCAGCAAAGGAAGATGTTGGCTGATGCAATGAATGGCACCTATAGAGGGGTAGAGCTCAAAAACACCACCACAGACACACTGGCTACAGACAGGAAGAAAATTACAGACATGCTTACCAAACATATTGAGAGCCGTCTGGGAGACCTGCTGTCTACCGAGAGCATTGTGCAAACATTCTCAGATCTTGATCATAATGTGTGGCCAAAACTGGACAACTCAGATGAGTCCAAAGAAGCCTTTGTCCTCCATGGACGAGCAAATATTGAGTCCCTGTGCCACCATTACCAGAGCATCCTGGTGCGTGAGGGGACCACAGTCACTGAGGTGTTGGGAGAGTACAGGCTCTATAAAATCTGGGCAAGAATGCGGAATGGGCCCCTCAGAGACACTCTCCTGGAAATACTCCAGAGAGGGGATCTACAGACCAAGTTTAAGAACCTAGGCATCTTTGCCCAGATCTACCTAACAATGGCTGTCAGTACCGCAGCATGTGAGAGAGGCTTCTCTTGCATGAAGAGCGACTGGAGGTCCTCACTGTCGACCCAAAATCTCACTCGTCTCATGTTCCTGACCGTGGAAGGGCCTAGTCTGGATACCTTTGATGCTAAGAGAGCTGTTTTGCAGTGGTGGCAGTCGGGGTCAAGAGCCAGACGTCCAGGATTTACAGCCTGGTCATCAGGAGGACGGCAAAATCAACCGACCGAGGAGGAAAATGAGGAAGAACTGAGGATTGAAATGTTGTAGTATAGTAGTAATGTAGTTTGTAAATAAATTACTATTGCAACAAATGTGTTCATTTTCTTCATTATTAGAGTCGACTTTTTTGGACGAATTCTCTTGGGCCAGTGGTTACAATGTTGGGGCCAGTGATAATGAAAATCTACTGGCCCGGAGGCCATTTTTGATTTGATCATCGCAGCAGACAACACTAGAAACCTAGAGCAGGTGAAAGGTATGCTCTCCACCAGATTCAAGATGAAGATGAAGATCAGAGAAGAAAAGATGACACTGGTTTACTGTCCCACAGATGACATGGTTGCAGATGCTATGACCAAGCCTGTCTCCAAACTGAAATTGAAAAATGTTGCAGGGGTCATGTTCGGTGTGTAAAATATTGCTTATTATGTAATATTGACTGCCATGTTCTTTTGATGTTTTGAACTGTTATTTTGCTTGGAAAAGTTGTACAGTATACATGTCATTCATAAGTGGGAGTGTTAAGTGTAAGTATTAATGTCTGCATGTAACTGCACTAGAACTGTTCCACAGTAAGAGGGCGCTATAGGCGTAAGGAGGCGCAGCTATTGTAGCTAACGTCAGGTATCAGATATAAGGGATTGTTCCCTCCCCTTCTATCTCTCTCTCTCTAGCTCTCATGGGGAGCAGGTCAAGTGGTGCAATGCACATATGAAAATAAACCACGCCAGTTAAGGCTAAAGAAGACCTCGTCGTCATGACCAGTTTATAGCTATACATGTGACTGTCAACATGTGACATCACAAACAAATATTCTTCCTCCCATTCTGGATGGAAGTGGTATGTCTTTAGCTTTTTGCTCGGTCCCGCACTCATTTTGTTGTTTGTCTCTTGTCTCTTTAACTTAATTTGAGTTTTCCCGGCACTTGACTGATTTAGTTTCGCTTTGCATTCTGGGTCAATAGTATGAAGCTGCAGCGTCGGAGGCTGCACTCTCAGGACCGCACTCTCAGAACCGCACCCCCACGACCCTAGTTGTTTTGCGTGTTTTGTACTTACCCATAGACTGTATATATAAAGTAACATATTATATCTTATATTATTAATATATATATAAATAATTCTGATAAAATGTTATTCCAGCGTCAATAAATGAGTGTTAATCCCAGTGTGTTTAGTGTACAACATCACATGTCATTTCACCTTCAATTCACGGTTTTCAAAACGTTAGCCACATGCTAATGCTAACCGGAAATGAAGAATCTTCAGAATAAAAGTGTTAAGTTAATAGTTAGTGTGAACTTCCGGGTTTTTCAGAATAAAACTGCTTTAAATATCAACATTGAAACATTTAGGTTTGGGAGGGAGGAAGGAAGATTAGGTAAAAAGGTAGGGAGTGGTTAGGGTTAGGATGGGGGGAAGGGAAGGGTTAGATTGCGCACTGCATTGAGGGGCTTCAGGTCACGTGCTCCGTCGGGCCTGTGTGCGGTTCTACAAGTGCGGTCCTGTAACTGCTGTCTCCGACGCTGCAGCTTCATGCTACTCTTCTGGGTTAACAGACTGGAAAGCGATAGGTCGCTTTTTTGTCAATCAAGTAAACTCCTGAATTAAGTGGCAGGGAGGCCAAGGGAGGAGGGATCAAAACCTATTTTGTCTATTTTAACGGAGCTGGATTTTTTTTTTTTATGAATGACTCGCGATCTACCAGCATTGTCCCCGCGGTCGACGTAGGCTATGGGCACCTCTGCTATTCTTTCACACACACATACGGGTTTTGGGCCGAGGGCGACACCGTACTTCCGGTATCAACCATTTCACACGAGGTGCATACAGAATATCATAGTCGATTGCCTTAATCAATATAGTCAACTCTAAAATACCACATATATGCAATGGCATGATAATATTATTGTGACAAGTGGGGTATTCACCTGGTGTTTCCAGAAGATAGACGTAGATGCAGCCAAAATCGACCGAAGGCCACTTTTGAGGGTTGTAATTCCATACATTGTACATCCAACAACCCACACAGCTCTAGTTTACGCTGGTAACGACCTAGAGCACACCCCTCAAGTCCAGAGATGTAATCCGAAGACATGCAGCGATTTCTTCGGTCGTTAATTCAGAAAAAAAACCTAGTGCGCTCTGCCTGGCAACATCAGCTAGCTGTTTATATAGCATTGCCAGGATTTTTGCACCTCCAGAAAAATGGCGTCTTTATAAAAAAATATATGGCGCGCGTTGCATTGTGGGTAGCTGTGACGTCACTGTGTGTGAAATAATAGACCATTAAGTTCTACTCAATGCAATCTCTCGTACAAAGGTTTGTTTTTTGTGTATTTCCTGGAACTTACAAAGTGTTATTTTTACATTTGAGGAGTTCATGGGAAATGTGTTATAAGTCAAAAAACATGTTCTGAAATACCTCTGTTATGTTTTTGTTGTAGGAAGAGAGGCACCCACGAAGCGTCCCAACATGAAGGGAAGAACGAGAATTTTCCTCGGCGTTATCGTAGCAGCGTATTTCTCTGGCATCGCTGCTCTGACGACAGGTGGGTCTTTAAACACAGGTTGGGGTTTTTAAATAAGCGATCACGTAAATGTTACTTCTAAAAGACCTTGGAAATAGTATGAAATAGAGAGGCGCAGTGATGATGGTTTTTTTGTAGTCCAGACCCAGAAGTGAGCGTTGCAAGGGCTCCCTCCACATTGAAATGAGTATGTGGTGTCTCTACTTTAAAGAGTCCTCTCCTGCTGATGTTCAGGTGTATATCAGTATGTAGTGTCTCTACTGTAAAGAGTCCTCTCCTGTTGATGTTCAGGTGTATATCAGTGTGCAGTGTCTCTACTTTAAAGAGTCCTCTCCTGCTGATGTTCAGGTGTATATCAGTATGTAGTGTCTCTACTTTAAAGAGTCCTCTCCTGCTGATGTTCAGGTGTATACCAGTATGTAGAGTCTCTACTTTAAAGAGTCCTCTCCTGCTGATGTTCATTTGTATATCAGTATGTAGTGTCTCTACTTTAAAGAGTCCTCTCCTGCTGATGTTCAGGTGTATATCAGTATGTAGTGTCTCTACTTTAAAGAGTCCTCTCCTGCTGATGTTCAGGTGTATATCAGTATGTAGTGTCTCTACTTTAAAGAGTCCTCTCCTGCTGATGTTCAGGTGTATATCAGTATGTAGTGTCTCTACTTTAAAGAGTCCTCTCCTGCAGATGTTCAGGTGTATATCAGTGTGTAGTGTCTCTACTTTAAAGAGTCCTCTCCTGCTGATGTTCAGGTGTATATCAGTATGTAGAGTCTCTACTTTAAAGAGTCCTCTCCTGCTGATGTTCATTTGTATATCAGTATGTAGTGTCTCTACTTTAAAGAGTCCTCTCCTGCTGATGTTCAGGTGTATATCAGTATGTAGTGGCTCTACTTTAAAGAGTCCTCTCCTGCTGATGTTCAGGTGTATATCAGTATGTAGTGTCTCTACTTTAAAGAGTCCTCTCCTGCTGATGTTCAGGTGTATATCAGTATGTAGTGTCTCTACTTTAAAGAGTCCTCTCCTGCAGATGTTCAGGTGTATATCAGTATGTAGTGTCTCTACTTTAAAGAGTCCTCTCCTGCAGATGTTCATTTGTATATCAGTATGTAGTGTCTACTTTAAAGAGTCCTCTCCTACTGATGTTCCGGTGTATATCAGTATGTAGTCTCTACTTTAAAGAGTCCTCTCCTGCTGATGTTCAGGTTATATCAGTATGTAGTGACTCTACTTTAAAGAGTCCTCTCCTGCTGATGTTCAGGTGTATATCAGTATGTAGTGTCTCTACTTTAAAGAGTCCTCTCCTGCTGATGTTCAGGTGTATATCAGTATGTAGTGTCTCTACTTTAAAGAGTCCTCTCCTGCTGATGTTCAGGTGTATATCAGTATGTAGTGTCTCTACTTTAAAGAGTCCTCTCCTGCTGATGTTCAGGTGTATATCAGTATGTAGTGTCTCTACTTTAAAGAGTCCTCTCCTGCTGATGTTCAGGTGTATATCAGTATGTAGTGTCTCTACTTTAAAGAGTCCTCTCCTGCTGATGTTCAGGTGTATATCAGTATGTAGAGTCTCTACTTTAAAGAGTCCTCTCCTGCTGATGTTCCGGTGTATATCAGTATGTGTTTCTCTGGTACTGTAAATATTTGTTCCAGAAATATGGTCTCCTTTATATGCAACAGATCGTTGTTTGACATAACATTAAAGTGTGCCTGTCAATAGTTTTGAAGCTCAATAAACAGCCAACAGTTGACCAGATTTATTTGATGTCGTCCAGACACTGTTATTTTTAAGCTCCCATTAATCCACTCTAAGTGTTTTTGACAGAAACCAGATCATTGGAAATATCTGGACATGTCCCAGAATGCTTTGCAGCCAAGACATTATGCATGCTTGAGACTTTCTAGGAATTGAAGGAAATGTGTTGGAGCAAACAGCTGAAGGGAAACCGGTCCCTGAAGAGGTGATGAAGTCTGAGGGGAGCGACCTGCATCCTGACTCACTAATGAGGATCTTTGAGAAATATAAACTCTGACCAAAAAAGGCTTCCCCTTGCAGGATCAAGAGTCAGACTAACGGCCTCTCTGGGATAATCGAAAATATGTTCGCCATGCAGTAAATGTACAATTGATGGACACAGCCTATTATTTATTTGATAATAAAACTTCGTGAACAACAAATCTGCAGATAGAGAGCTGGTTAACGTTAGCTGTTAGCTGTTAGCTGTTAGCAGCCTGTGGGCAGCACAATCCTGCTTGGCTAAATAACGAAGAACGGTAACATAGCTAAATCAATGTATTGTTTGCCTTGTAATGTCTCGCCATTAAACGCCACGATGTGCATTATTTAGTCCTCTGGTAAAAAGAGGGTCATATAAAATGCTTTTGTTAAAAAACCTCTTGCAGCATGTTTTTTACCCTAACAAAGAACAGGGAAGGGAAACCCCCAAAAAGCATGATAGGGCCTCTTTAAACATTTTGTCTTCCGTGATCATAATGATATCTGTTTAATTTTTTGTTTCCTTAAATATGTATCTTTGTTGCTGCTGTGATGCAAGAAATGTTTCAGACTTGAGCTGTCAATAAACACAACAAATGTTTACGTCCCCAGAGCTGAACTTTTCTTCCCCTTGTCCAGATTGTGAAAATGCCACCGTGGCCGACATCGTCTTCCTGGTGGACGGATCCATCGACAAGAAGAACTTCGTGAAGGTCAAAGGTTTTCTCAGCAGTGTCATCAAGGACCTCAACATCGGCTGGAAAAAGGTTCGTATCGGCGTGGCTCAGCACAGCGATAAAACTCACCAGGAGTTTCTGCTGAAGGATCACGTGGATAAGAGATCCCTGATGATCGCAGTTAAAAACATGCCCTACCAAGAAGGAGGCACATTTCAATTCCGAACAGGAGGCACAGAAACAGGCAAGGCCATCGACTTCCTCCGGACGCAGTATTTCACGGAGGAAGCAGGGAGCAGAGCCGGCCAAAGGGTGCCTCAGATCGCTGTGGTTATCACGGATGGAGACTCCACGGACGATGTGATCGCACCCGCCCAGCGCCTGAGGCAGCAGGGAGTCATCGTGTTTGGCATCGGGGTGGGAGCAGCCAACCTGCAGCAGCTCGAGTCCATCGCCAACCGGCCTCCAGAGCGCTTCCGGTCCTACATCAGTAACTACGCGGTTCTGCAGACGCTGAAAGACCATCTGCTGAAAACTGTGTGCATCTCAGTGGAGGATCAGAAGCAAGGTAAGGCAAAGGATTGAAGAAAACATCACATAATAGTCCATTTCATTGCAATAAAGTTTATATTTCTAAGCGGGCAAATTAGGTTTTGGTATTTGAAGATGAGATCTACTGGATTTGTTTGAAAAACAAGAAATGTATCATCATACTGTTTTTAATAAGTTTCCTGCTGTTACAATCATGCAGTCCTTTTTGGTAACCAGTTTTTAAAGTGTACATATTCCCAATAGCTCATTCAATGGCAGCCATCAAAGAGCGTGGCTAGACATGATGAATTATGCAAAGGGGGTAATGGGAATGCATGGTGCTGTACCTGCTTGTGGTACAAAATGAGAGCTTGGAAAGATTCAAAGTTAGCTTAATGTGAACATATCTGAAAATACAAAATGTTAGTGCATATCCTACGAGATTAATGATCTTTAAGGTTGAGTTATTGGATAAACTAGCCATACTCTTTGGAGTATACTGACATCTTGACTGTAATGTAAGAAAAAGTAATAATGTTGTCTCTTTTTCCAGCATTGACAGACAGGTTTGCAGATGTCTTCTTCATGCTGGACGGTAGCATGGCTCCAGGAATGGTCCCGGAGGTCATATCTGACTTGGTTGAATTGATCGATCGTCTCCATGCCTCAGCGTCCACCTACCGTATTGGTTTGGCCCAGTACGGTGAAGATACCAAGGTCGAATTCTCCCTTGCGAAATTTAAAAACAAACAGAAAATCATCGAAACTGTCAAGCGTTTCCGCCTGCGCCCAGACACCCACAAACCAGCTGACCTGGGCGGTGCCCTGATCAACGCCAACACTCACCTTTTTACCAGTGAGGCCGGGGGCCGTGCGCATCAAGGCTCCCGACAGTATCTGGTTGTTATGAGTGCAAAAGACTCCAAACGCTCCGTCTATAGGGACGCTGAATTGATCAAATCATCGGGGGTAACTCTTATAGGAATGAGTGCAGGTGCAAGTATGGAATCAATCGAATCATTTGCCAGTCCTGACTATGCATATAATACTTCAAACCTGTTAATTTTGGAGGATGTCATCTTGACTGAGAAAAAGGAGATCATTACTGAAGGTGAGAATCCCAACCATCCTACTAGCAGTTTTTCAGTTAGCATCTAGAAGTGGACAGCTACAGAAAACTAGCATTCATAGTTTTATTGAAATCCTAGCCACCTCTAATCGCAGAACACAACATTATGCTTACTGCTTTGACCTCTGTTAGAAGCAGTTACGTGCGGCGAGGTTCATGGTCGGAGGCACTGACTCTTTCAGAGTCAGATTTACAAATATTATATTTTGACCTTAATCGAAATATTCTGTAATTTTCAAAAGCTTTTTTAGTCTGATGCTTCGATTCATTTTAAACAGACCGTTCAACAAAAGGATACCCGAAATCTAAATATTGGATTGTTCTCTCTTAGTAAGATCCCATGTTCATTACAATGGTGGTCTTACCTTGACTTGAAGATGAAGTCCATGCTATCCTTCTGGACAACAATCTCTTACTTCTTTGTAAAAGTCCTCCTTATGTTCTTGTAGTTTCAAAAGTCTAGTTTGTTGTTTGCTACCGTCTCTGCGTAGAATAACAGTAGCAACAGGAACCCGTGGGCTCACTTGCGCCCCCTTCAGTGCGGCAGAGGTTATGGCTGCCTCCCCTGGTGCTTTGTTCATTGCCGTTGTATGATGAGACCAGCGAGCCTAAATATCATATATACGTGAAATAAGTTATTTAGAGACTATGGATGGCGAGGATAAATGTAATAAAGGGATCTACAAACATTACATTGGTGACCTACAGTGAGATGGTGCAGGCATGCGCTTAGGGCCCGCTTTCCAGCCAGTTTCTGTGGGGTGACGCATTCTGAGGTGAGGCAGAGCTCATCTGTGCCTCACCTCACCACACAGTAACTGGCTGGAGCGCGCTCACAAAATAAGTGCCCGCACTAAATGAGTGCCCGTGCTCCAGCCAGTTTATGTGGTGTTTCGTGAGGCAGAGCTCGTCCCTGCCTCACTTCTCATCGCTCCCATGTAGTTGTAGCGGAGCTCGGCAGATTTGCCGATGTTGACTATAAAAAGCGATTGGAATCAAACAGAAATCACACTTACAATACAGATCAGTGGAGACATTTTATTATTATTATTATTTATTATTTTGTATTTGTTCGTTACATTGGAGAATGACAGGTGAGGCTCTGCTACGTCGCTGGTTAAAAGTATACCTGTAATAAAGTCCCTTTGTAGCAGATGACTCAAGTTACACTCCTTTCACAGATTGCAAAGGAGCCACGGTGGCAGACATCGTGTTCATCGTTGACGAGTCGGGAAGCATTGGAAATGAAAACTTTCGGCTCATGCGCAACTTCCTGCACTTGGTCGTGAGCAGCTTGGATGTAAGTCCGAAGAGAGTCAGAGTGGGCATTGTCACGTACAACGATGTCTCCACACCACAGGTCTTCCTCAACTCATTCAACAACAAGGACGAATTGCTTGAGTACATCAAGATCCTGCCTTACAATGGAGGTGGTACGAATACTGGAGAGGCCCTGAATTTTACTCGGGAAAACGTCTTTATTAAAGAGAAGGGCTGCAGGAAAGAAAACGGTGTCCAACAGGTGGCGGTGGTCATCACTGATGGTAAATCCCAGGATGAAGTGAGCAAAGCAGCAATTACTCTGCGTCGAGCCGGTGTTACCATTTACGCTTTAGGGATAAAAGATGCCATGGAGAGCGAACTGTTGGAAATGGCTTCACACCCTCCTGATCAGCACGTTTTTACCCGGAAAAGTTTCACCGAGCTGACGCACCTGAAGCAGACCCTGCAGAAAATCCTGTGCAAAAACATCATTGCCAAAGCAGTCCCAAGGAAATCAGAAACCAAAGAAGGTTTGAACAGTTTTTTGTTTGTTTGTTGGAGTTGTCTTTGGGACTGGTGGAAAGTAAATAAGTAACTTAAGCTATGCACTGGACTTTACTCGAGTATTTTCATAATATTGCATTTGAGTATATGTTGATGATGGTATTTCTGCACTGTAGTATAACTACTTTTACAATCTGTAGTTTTACAATTTCTGGTCTTACAGGAAATACCATAAACACAAAAAGTCAACTTTAAAAACTACATTTGTATTCATGTTGTAGAGAGAATTAAATAAATGTAAAGTTAAAATGAGAAGAGGATTTGTGGATCAATAATACAATTTGACTTGACCCTCAATGAACTGTGAAAGACAGAAATCTCCTAGATCTATTTGGTTTGTTTGTGCTATGGGGATTTAAAATGGCAGTTTCCTGTTGAAGAGCGATCCTTTTGTATTTAATCTAACTCAAATATTTCCAAATGAATGTTAATTTTGAACCTTTCTCTTGTTGAATATGTGAAAATAACAACGTCTTATTATTGTTTTCCAATTTAGTTTGTGTAAAAACGGATGAAGCAGACATCTTCTTCCTTATGGATGACTCAGGAAGCATTACATGGCAAGACTTCGCAGAAATGCAGAACTTCATCAACAAGTTTATAGAACACTTCCAAATTGGGCCACAACAAGTCCGCATTGGGCTTGTGAAATATGCTGATTCCCCAACTGATGAATTTGATCTGACAACCTACTCCGATGAAAAGTCATTGGTGAATGCCATCAACAGTATAATTGGCGTAGGAGGTGGGACGGAGACAGGAAAAGCACTTTCACACATGGGCCCACTCTTTAAGAGAGCGGCGGCCACGCGTGGTCATGAAGCCCCAAAGTACCTGATTGTCGTCACAGATGGAAAGTCCACTGATAAGGTGAAGGCTCCTGCAGAAGAACTGAGGGAGCAGGGAATCATTATCTACGCCATTGGGGTGAAAAATTCATCCCAAACTGAGCTAGAAGAGATTGCAGGAGACCCCAAGAGGACTATCTTCGTCAGAAATTTTGATGCCTTGAAATCCATCAACAATGAAATCATCAGAGAAATCTGTTCTGAAGAAGGTAAGGAAAAAACATTTTTTTAAATGGAGAGACGAAGTGAGAGAAGGGCTTTTTCCCATATCGTACCCAGCCTTGAAACATAAACTGAGTTAACGGCATGTTTAACAGAAGAGGCCAGACAGAGAGGACCGAACAGTGTAGACGCTTTTCATACTTCAGAGATGACAGCTAACAAGAATTGTAAAAGTTACGTTGATAGATATCATTAAATACCGTCATAATAGTGATAGGTGGTGGGAAGATTGACGCTGTTTTTAAAGGGTTTTTAGGGTTATATTATGATTATTATTGCCTGGATGTAGGGATAAGGGAAGGTAGGGATGAAGCGATTGGTGGATTTAGAGATGAGGGAAGGTAGGGATGAAGCGATTGGTGGATTTAGAGATGAGGGAAGGTAGGGATGAAGCGATTGGTGGATTTAGAGATGAGGGAAGGTAGGGATGAAGCGATTGGTGGATTTAGAGATGAGGGAAGGTAGGGATGAAGCGATTGGTGGATTTAGAGATGAGGGAAGGTAGGGATGAAGCGATTGGTGGGTGTGGGGATGAGGGAAGGTAGGGATGAAGCGATTGGTGGATTTAGAGATGAGGGAAGGTAGGGATGAAGCGATTGGTGGATTTAGAGATGAGGGAAGGTAGGGATGAAGCGATTGGTGGATTTAGAGATGAGGGAAGGTAGGGATGAAGCGATTGGTGGATTTAGAGATGAGGGAAGGTAGGGATGAAGCGATTGGTGGATTTAGAGATGAGGGAAGGTAGGGATGAAGCGATTGATGGATTTAGAGATGAGGGAAGGTAGGGATGAAGTGATTGGTGGGTGTGGGGATGAGGGAAGGTAGGGATGAAGCGATTGGTGGATTTAGAGATGAGGGAAGGTAGGGATGAAGCGATTGGTGGATTTAGAGATAAGGGAAGGTAGGGATGAAGCGATTGGTGGATTTAGAGATAAGGGAAGGTAGGGATGAAGCGATTGGTGGGTGTGGGGATGAGGGAAGGTAGGGATGAAGGGATTGGTGGGTGTGGGGATGAGGGAAGGTAGGGATGAAGGGATTGGTGGGTGTGGGGATAAAAAGATGAATGGTTCGAAGGCTGGAGGGATGAATGGGTTTGGTTAATGATGAGGTAGAAACGGGAATGTATGAGAGGGCGGGTGGGTTGAGAGAATGGAAACAACAGTGGCCGGATGTGTTAGCTGCATATTGAGGCATTGCCCTGCTCCTGAACCTAAGTTAACAAAATACCTTCTAAATGATACCCAATGAAAGTAAGAGAAGGGCAAAAAAAGGAACTCCTCATTAACATTTCTGTGTTCTGTGTCGACAGCCTGCAGAGACATACAGGGACGACATCTTTTTCCTCACTGACAGCTCTGAGAGCATCGATGAGGAAGAGTTTCAGAAAATGAAAGACTTCATGAAATTTGTCATCAGCAAGTCGGCCATCGGGGAGAACAAGGTGCACGTCGGTGTCATGCAGTTCAGTACCAGCTACAATCTGGAGTTTCCCCTCAACCAATACTACAGCAATGTTGACATTTTGAGAGCCATTGATGATATGAAGCAGATGAATGAAGGTACGAGCACAGGAAAGGCCATCACAGAGGTTTCAAGGTATTTCGATGCGGCCAGAGGAGGGCGTCCTGGCATGAGTCAGAATCTGATAGTGATTACAGACGGCAAGGCACAAGACGACGTCAGGGGTCCCGCTGAGGCTCTGAGGAAAAAGGGGGTTGTGATCTACTCCATCGGAGTGAAGAATCACAACCCCACCCAGCTGAAGGAGATCAGCGGTTATTCTCACAGGGTTTATTCTGTGAAGGACTTTGATGCGCTGAACGACTTGGAAGCCCAGGTTTCCTCAAAGATTTGCGAGAGAGGTAAGAGCACGTCAAGAGCAAACCAACACAAGCAACTAGGAGTAGAGCAATGGTGGAAGAAGTGCTCAGAACCTTTACTTAAATAAAGATACAAGTACAATGGTCTAAAAATACTAACTTGCGAGTAAAATATCTGAATTGAGAATGTTGCTTAAATAGAAGTACCAAATGTTTGAGCTGAATGTACTTCAAATATCTAACGTTATCAGTATGCAAAATGTTTCTTTTCACATTATTATAAAAGACTAATATTCAGTTTTTATCTTCAATCAATCAATCAATGTTTATTTATATCCAAATATCACAAATGTTACATTTGTCTCAGTGGACTTCACAGTTTGTACAGAATATCAGTATGACAATACGACACCCTCTGTCCTTAGACCCTCTGTCCTTAGACCCTCTGTCCTCAGACCCTCTGTCCTTAGACCCTCTGTCCTAGACCCTCTGTCCTCAGACCCTCTGTCCTTAGACCCTCTGTCCTTAGACCCTCTGTCCTCAGACCCTCTGTCCTTAGACCCTCTGTCCTTAGACCCTCTGTCCTCAGACCCTCTGTCCTCAGACCCTCTGTCCTTAGACCCTCTGTCCTCAGACCCTCTGTCCTTAGACCCTCTGTCCTCAGACCCTCTGTCCTTAGACCCTCTGTCCTCAGACCCTCTGTCCTTAGACCCTCTGTCCTTAGACCCTCTGTCCTCAGACCCTCTGTCCTTAGACCCTCTGTCCTCAGACCCTCTGTCCTTAGACCCTCTGTCCTCAGACCCTCTGTCCTTAGACCCTCTGTCCTTAGACCCTCTGTCCTCAGACCCTCTGTCCTTAGACCCTCTGTCCTTAGACCCTCACATCGTACAAGGAAAAACTTCCAGAGAAAACCCACAGTTTAAAGGGAACATGGGAGAAACCTCAGGGAGAGCAACAGAGGAGGGATCCCTCTCCCAGGACGGACAGACGTGCAATAGATGCCGTGTGTAAATTGAAAAGATAATACATTTTACAGCGTAGGTAGACCAGATGTTTGGAAATGCATGTGTCTGTAATAAGAAGATGAATCCACGAGGATGTCAACAATCCTGTGGGAGCCATCAGGGAGGTAGAATGATGAGTCAGGCAGGACCACAGTGACAGGTTCAGCCACGACTCGAAATCCAGGACTCAGGAACCAGGATCCCCGCGTAGATAGACACCAAAAGAAAGACATTTGGGGAAGCTGGGTTAATCGGATCATGAGAGTACACAGGTATAGACAGAGAGAAGGAAGAAGTAAGATGTCCCCCGACAAACCAAGCCTATATCAGCAAAACTAGGGGCTGAATCTAATCAGCCCTAACTATAAGCTTTATCAAAAAGGAAGGTCTTAAGCGCACTCTTAAAAACGGATAGGGTGTCTGCCGCCCGAACACAAACTGGAAGCTGATTCCACAAATGTGGAGCTTTATAAGAAAAGGCTCTGGCTCCCATTGTACTTTTAGAGACTCTAGGAACAACCAACAACCCTGCATTCTTGGAACGCAATGCCCTAGTAGGACAGTAGGGTATAATGAGTTATTTAAGAACACTTCAACACATGTCATATCATTTTAACGTTGTGGTTTGTCAATGTGGAACCAATTTTATATACTGGGTACATAATTAGTACAGTACTCCAGCATATCATTCTATAACTATAAACCTTCTATAATATATTAAAGTAAAACAAATACAAAGTAGTTAAATAGAACTATAGTACAACACTTAAGTAAATGTACTTACTGTGCTATTCCACCATTGGCAACAAGAGTTTATATTTCTCAATCCTTATTTTCAGTCTACTCCTAAGTATTTTGTCTTGTTTACTGAAATTAATTAGATTTGAATAAAATGGGGAAAAAACGTCATGGACTGAAAATATTGAGGTGAAGCTTATTTTATGAAACCATCTTTTCTCTGAATCAGTTGTAATTGTGAGGCATTGATTTTTGATGAGAACATAATAATTCCCAACCAATTGCTCTGCTAACTTCTCCTTTTTCCTCTTTTTTCTTTTAAACCAGGATGTAAAATGGAAAAAGCCGACATTATTTTCCTGGTGGACAGCTCCAGAATATCTCAAATACATTATGAAAGCATGCAGAGGTTTATGGCATCAATAGTGAACCAAACCACAGTTGGCACCAGCCTGACTCGTTTCGGGCTTATTTCCTACTCAGATGAACCCCGGACTCATTTTAAACTGAACGCCTACGACTCCAAGCGTAAAGTTCTTGCAGCGATACCAACGGTGAAGCCGGAAGGAGGAGGCACCTACACAGACAAAGCCTTGAGATACTCTCTAGAGTACTTTAATGCCAAACATGGAGGCCGGGAGGTGCCTCAGATTCTCATAGTGATCACAGACGGAGCTGCGAACATACCTTCCAACCTAAAGGGTCCGGCTGATAAACTGCGAGAACACGGGGTCACCGTCATCAGTGTCGGAGTGAAAGAAGCAGATCGAGATCAGCTGTTGACCATTGCTGGCAACACCGGCAGAAGTTTCTTTGTGGACAGATTTGAGGCCCTAGGAACTCTGCACAACGATATGTCTTCTGTCCTCTGCAATGCCACAAAACGAGGTGAGTGGTCTGTGCACATCCGTGGTACAGAAGTTCATGATCTTCCAAGCTAAGATTCAAAGTTTGTGTCAAAAGATCCACTAAACGTATGAAATAATTGAATCCAGCAAACTCACAAAGACACATACTGTATGATACGGCTTTCATTTCAAAAGGGAATTGTTTTTAGAGATCAGGAATCTAAATTAATAATTCAAGTGCTCAATATTCAAATTATGTTCAATCAATTCCAAAGTTATTTGCCCCTTCAACTTTATTTTTCTTCCTCACTGCACATCCTTCAGCGTGATTGTAGATTACATCACATGTCACTTGTTAGACGCTTTTATCCAAAGCGACTTCCATACTCAGTACTGTGGACAATCCCCACAGGAGCACTTTGGGGTGAAGAGTCTCAGGGACACAACGACATGCTGACTGCAGTGGGGTTTGAACCTGTGACCCCCTGATCTGAGCACCAACACGCCTCCCTAGATCTTCACAGTACTACAATAATCGTGTAAAGGGTTTAAAATATTCAAAATGTTTTAAACAAACCCTAAAATAAACATAAAGCCCTTTTGGAATGATGGTTCATGAACATTTGAATGTATAGTTTACCAGTATTTATGTTCGGTCACTTAATGCACTTCTACAACAAATATTGGAAACAAAAGTGTTGGTCTCGATTGCTTACCTAATCTAGCTCTTCATGGTTTGGGCAAAGCAAGGAAAGACGGAAAATGACTTATCATTTGAAGACCACAATTTAGAAGTAGATATCCTACACATTTTGTTTCTCTCGATGCTCAAAACATTTCTGCTTGCGGCGTCAAGGAGTAAGAATCACAAAGGCAGTAAAAGCAGAGCATACCTAGTTGTTTTCCCAATGTGGTTTATTTGAATACATGACCAAGCCTGAGAAACTGCTTTTGATCTGTCAGATTGACAGAAAAGCTGCATCAATTCCTTATCTATCAGACAAACCGTAAAAAAGGGAGTGAAGAGTTTGGTGTGGCCAAACAAATGATGCTTTACAGTGAATTTCTTTGTACTTTTGTAAATTACATTTGATTTTCGTCTATTTATATTTCCATGTCCGTCATGCTGACTTATGTCTTCCTCTTGCTTTGCTCTGTCAGGATGTAAGGGAAAGCAGGCCGACCTGATCTTCCTACTCGATCAGTCAAGCAGCATTAATACAGAAGATCACGACATGATGAAAAACTTCACAGCAAGCATAGTGAACAGCTTTACCATCAGTAAAGACCGGGTGCGTATTGGACTCGCTCAGTTCAGCGATAAGCCTCAGGACGAGTTTGACCTCAACAGCTACTTCAGGGAGGAGGATTTGATCGGGCACATCCAAAACTTGAAATACACTGGTGGAGACACATTCCTCGGGAAAGCCTTGGTTCACATAAGCAAATACTTTGACGACAGTCGTGTTGTCCCGAAGAATCTGGTGTTGATCTCAGATGGCGGGTCGCATGATGACGTGGAGGATGCAGCTGACTATCTCAGGATACATAACATTTCAGTGTTTGCCATCGGCGTTGGTGACATTCACGACCTGGAGCTCTTGCAGATCACTGGCAACCCGGAGAGGCTGTTGACTGTGCAGAACTTTAACGGATTGGAAAATATCAAGCAAGACTTGGTCGACATCTTATGCGATGATCCAGGTCCAGGTCCAGATCCAACCCCACCCACACCTTCACCCCGTCCCTCCTCAACAACCCCAACCCCACCCACACCTTCACCCCGTCCCTCCTCAACAACAACAACCACACCCCCACCACCGCCCACTCCCACACCCCCCCCAAGCAGTAAGTTGAAAAGTGTCTCCTTGCATCTCAATAGCTTTGTTTCCATTCAAATGTTGCAAAAACATTAGGTGCTGTTCTATCAACTGGTTTAGAGAGAATACAATGGGCTTAGTTGTGTCACGGTAAAGGCTACGTATTACTGTAATCTAGTAGTTAACAAAATAGTAGAAGTAGAGTTTGCGTACTGGAAACAAAAGAGGTTGTCTTGGTCATTCCACAGGCTATGTAACAGCTGATCTTGCACTATTTATTTGATTTCTTAATTTTTATAGCATTATTTTTTTATTATTTAGTTTTTTATTATATGTATTGTTGTATTTGTAATTGCACTGTTGAGGATCCTGCAACCTATGTTTTTCATTCATTGCACAAGTACATCGTAGTTGTGTATATGATATGACAAAATTGCTCTTTTATTTCAGCTAGTATAAAGCGGTGTAGGAATATGTCCTAAAACCATGAATGAGATAGCATTTAATCACTTCCTGTCCCCTGGTCAAGGGTTTTCTGAATGTGTTTTTGGCTGTTATCCTGAAATAACAACCTGTAGTCTGTGGTTAACGCAAGAGATGTTACTGTTTTGCTCAACAACATAAAATAAGTCAGTAAATACCCCACTGGTGAATTTAAACTCAACATGTTTCATGCTGTCTGGACACTAAGACATGCAGTCATGTGTTATGGGAATATCCATATCATCAAAAAACTGTTAGCGTAAAAATGTTTGCCCTGATCGGGGAAGTTTTAGTGAAATATTGCTGCTTTCAGACATTCTTCATAATGCAATACCTAAAGATGCACTTAAATGTAAACACAGCTTATGTATCCCACCATATTCCTCTGTGTTTATGAGCCAAAAGGTAAATACATGTTTCCCTTTGCTACAGACTGCAGCATCGATATCGCCATGGGATTCGATATTTCTCAGAGAACAGCAGGGGAGAAGCTGGTCAGCGGTCACACCATGCTCCTGAGGTTCCTGCCGGAAATCGTCAGGTCCGTGTCTTCGGTGAAAACCCTTTGCTGCGTCGGTCCAGATCCTGTCCAGCCCAAGATTGCTTTCCAAGTGCTGGATAGTGACGGGCGTTCCTTGTACGACACAGACTTTGAAGCCTACAGCAAGGAACTGGTGGACAAAGTCATGGAAGTGCAAATGTCAGGGCCTACTTACTTCAAGACGGCCATGCTGAACTCCTTCAAGCAGAGGTTCTTGGACAAGTCCAAAGCTGATGTGAAGGTGAGAGACACCTGGCAACCCTGGGAAATCCCTATTTTAGTTTTCATGCATTGCCTCCACCAAGACAGATATCTTCAGTTGGTTAGGAACTGGTGTACAGGGAAACTACAGGGTCCACTCTTTTATGAAACTGAGGAATGGTGGATAAAACGGGGCAGAACCCATTTCATTTGAAGTGGATCCAAATGCGAATACAAACGATATTTTAACTTTTGCTAACATTTAAAAATCATGCATTTGGCTTCGGCAGATGTCTGCGTGCCTTTTTAGTTTATAATGAAATGTTCAGTCTTTAGCTATGCCGACAACATTTGCTAATTTGCAGTTAATACAAAGTGAAGCTGTGGCTAAGGCGAACGTCATTAGCAATACACTTCTTAGTGACGTTTTTGACCTAATGATGGTGCTTAATAAGAAGTGAAAGGAGGTCAAAATAAGTCAAATGTTAAGGTTTTTGTAGTATAGTATGATTATATGAATGTGCTGACCTAACAGGATGAGGTGGTTCTTAAAGTGCGCTCACATTAAATATTGTATTAACATCAAACCTCGTCAATCAGGTGCTGGTGATCTTCTCAGACGGACTCGATGAAGACGTGAAGACACTGGAGCATGAAGCTGAGCTGCTGCGTCAGTCTGGTACGTTTAATTCTCCTCTTTATAATGTGGTTATTGGAGTCATTCTAAAACACTTGATTTTTCACCTTTGCTCTTTAGTTTTTCTGTATTTTATTCAGCTTTTTCTTCACTTCTATCCTTCTTTGTTCTTTCTGGCCCTCTCACCTTTACTCGTTAAAAGAGGCTGTTTATGTAACGTGTCTTGAACGGTTGATTTAAATTATCTTTGATTCTGTTGTAGCATAAAGTAATTAATTCAATATAGAAATTGTGACCCATAAACATGAAATAGTTGAACTCGCTCCTCGGAAAAACAAACATATTTGGGGTTTACTAAATACAGGAAAAAGGAAATGTGTATGTGCCTCCGATTAGTATCTCAATGATGCCTTGAATTATGTAGTTCATCGCAATTTAACACCTGTCATTTCAAACTACCACACCCACCTGCAGAAAACACCAGGAAAAAAGTAGGTAATAAGTGAAGCCCGCCTCTTGTTTGCTTCGATATCTTGCGCTCTCGGTCTGTTGTATGTCCTAAGGGCCTAAACCCACTAAACTTACAAACTGTGGTTTTGTTTTTTGCGTGCAGGGGTCAGCACTCTGCTCACCGTGGCCCTGGAGGGGACCCGGGACCCCGCCCAGCTGCAGATGGTGGAGTTCGGAAGAGGGCTCGAGCACAAACTCCCTCTGAGCATCGGCATGCCGAGCGTGGGCAGCACCATCCACAAACAGATCGTGAGTCCCCCATTGTGCTGCTAACAGTACAACCATCTTCCGACCCTCGGTCTGCTTACAGGAGCTGCGTCCCGAAGAATTGTAAAGTCAAAATGTTGCTTTCAAGCCACACTGGAAGTTAGGGTGAAGCGTCTGCCATCATTTCCTCCCTCATCACTTTCCAACAATTCTACAGGTGTTACTCAAAAGTTCCTTCTCAATTCGGACACTTCATTGAGGACGTTGCCATGTGTATATTCAAATGTATATAGGTTACGTTCCCTAATAATCTAGGGGAGAAGGGAAGTACCAAAAGATAACGTAACACCACACCACGGGACGTAACCATTTATGAAAGAGAAGATGACCTAGGATGTAGCCTTGGGGTTCTCCTAATGTAATTTGACATATTGCAGTGGTGGAAAGTACATTTACTCATATATTTGTACTTTAAAAGTCATGTAGTAACTACTGTACTTTTTACTAAAACCTCCTTTATATATATATATCCAATATATACATAAAATAAAATATAACTTACGCCTGGAGGAAATCTCTTCAAATGTCTTCAACATCCACTTGGATTCAAGGATGAACTCATTAGCATTTAGTGGTCAATGTTCAAAGCTAATTTTGAATCAGGAATTCATGCACTAATTATGACAGTAATGTTTAAATGATGAGGTGATAACAACTTGGACGGACATGGAGTTAAACTTCAACTTAACCGGTGGCTGGAGTCACACAAATGCGAGAGGGTCATTTTGGTTTGATGAGGGTCTTTAAATGAAATGTTCTTTTCACGGTTTCCTCCTCTGTGTCTCTGCAGGACACGGTGTCGGACAGGAAGTGCTGCAACGTCATGTGCAAATGTTTGGGAAACGAAGGCATCCGTGGTTCTCGCGGCATCCTGGGGTCAAAGGTGACTGAAACACACCTTTAAACTTAAAAATCTCTTTTTCATTAAGATGCTCAATTTACAGTGTAATAACAATATATATGGTATATTCCAAATACTATTTACATGTGTGCATCAAACAAATGCACACAGGCATCATTATTAGGTTTGTAATTAACTTTTATTTTCTACATCAATTGAAATATAACATATTACTAATAATACACCTAACTTAAATTAAGGATAAGAGAGAGATATGATTGTGGTTAATCTAATTTAATTCACTTCAAAGTACATTTCCAAGGTCATTTTCACCATCACCTTCACCTGGGGGAAGATTTGTATTTATTTATCCAGATGCGTTGATCTATTCTGCTTTATATTTTATTCTAAATGCCTCTCCATGTCGTTATAAACAGGGCGAGCCGGGGCTGAAGGGTTATCCGGGATTCCCGGGGGAGGAAGGCCACTCCGTAAGTGCTTTATTTTATTGTCTATTCATTCCATCCTCACACACTTGACTCCTCTTGTGAAGAAACTAACAAGATTTGGTTTTTGGTTTTCATGGAGGATTTACAGGCTGTTGCTGATCCTGAAACATTGCTATCATACACAGGAAGGATTTTCAATGTGTTTGAGGTTTACGATGTGACACAGTAGAGGTTTCTCAATACTCTAATTTCCCCTCCTCGACTCCTATCCTCGAGACTAACCCCCTGATCCCACCGGAAGCGTCTGCGCTGCGTCTGCGCCGCGCTGCGACCTCCTCCTGCGTCATAACCATGGTCATAACCCACCAGGCGCGTTTCAAAACGTTGCGGAAGCGGAGCGTCGTGTGTGTAGCATCGCAGTTGTTGGATGAACGTTCCACTTCCTGCCTGCGCCGTGTCAAAAATAGGATTCATCCTATATTCTAGAAATTCCTTGCGGCGAGGAGCTTCTGGGACGCTTCCAGCCGCGGCGCAGCGGGTCTGGTGGAATAGCACCCATTGACTAGAGTGGCCGCGATCGTTAAAAACGCCGCAGACGCAGCGCAACGCAACGCAACGCAGACGCTCCTGGTGGGATTAGGGGGTTAGTCCCGCCCACAGGAGATGCGAGCGGAAAGGAGGGGAACCGAGGAGAGAGGAGTGGAACCGAGGAGAGAGGAGTGGAAGCAGCAGGCGGTTAGAGAGATGAGAACTCCTCTCCTCTGAGCGGTCATTTTAAAGAGACGTCCATTAATGATGACAGGAGGCACAGCAGCCCTCTGTCTGATGGACAGATGTGTTCATGACCACTTATATATTTACTTTGATTCATTCACAGTGCGGTGTAATGAGACAATAACAGGCTACAGATGCGGACACACACACATATATATGTATATATTTATATAAATATATACAATTTCAGAATCAAACAAGTATGAGAGCACTCTCATAATAACGTAACACAATCAGAGACTGGATATATCTCCCCCCTCTCTCTGGTCGCTGAAATGGGGAATTGAAATTACGGCCAAAAGTTGTATTTACAAGTATTAAAAGTAATTAAATTAGAGTATTGAGAAACCTCTAGTGTTTTCTGCAGAGTAATGGATCCTTTTCTCTGGATGTTTCAGGGGGGGGGCGGGCCTCCTGGACCCAGCGGACCTCAGGGCGTCCAGGGCTGTCCTGGAGTCAGAGGACAGAAGGTATGAATATTATATTCATTTTGCCTTTTTATTTTATTTTATCTTTTATTTTATACATTTTTAATCATATTTGAATTTATTTTATCTTATTATTATTTTTGTATAAGTTTATTTCATTAATATATTTGTAGGTATAGACCCACATGACACATTAGTACCTATTTCACCTGTATTTCACCCATGTTACACCTCTATTACAAATATATAACAGTATTTTTACACCGATAATACCCCGGTACTACACTGTTATTACACCTTAATACACCCCCTAATACACCTGTATTACACCCTACACACCTGTTACAGTATTATTACACACATATAACAGTATTTGTACACCCATATTACACTGTTACTATACCCACATTTACCCAATCATACACCCCTATTGCACCCATGTTAAACCATTATTACACCGCCATTAGACCCCTCATTAAACCCATGTTAAACCATTATTACACCGCCATTAGACCCCTCATTAAACCCATGTTAAACCATTATTACACCGCCATTAGACCCCTCATTAAACCCATGTTAAACCATTATTACACCGCCATTAGACCCCTCATTAAACCCATGTTAAACCATTATTACACCGCCATTAGACCCCTCATTAAACCCATGTTTCACTGTAATCACACTGTTACACACATTTCACACATGGACAGAGCCTGTCCGATGAGTGTTTCCCAGGATGCAGAAATGAAAAGGATGTGTGCGTTGTGTCTGCAGGGCTACCGGGGCTTCTCCGGGAACATCGTGAGTGGAGCAAAACGTTTAGAGGAGATTAAAGAAGACTTCAAACTGCATTTTCTAAAAGTGTTAGGAGTAACATCAATATTTGAGTTCTGGTAGTTCATAAAGAGGAGAGCGCTGAGACACTGGTTCTGATCCAACAGGGCGGAGACGGAGACGACGGACTGGACGGAGTCTGTGGAGAGCAGGTACAGCGTCAGCAAAAAAACACGAGTCTGTAAAGAAAGTCATCACATAAACCGGTACCACTTTACAATAAGACTAACCTTATAAAGGATTCATTAAGGGTTTATAATTAGGTTATTAATTAGGTTGTAAACACTTTATTAATCATCAAGAACCATTTATAAACCTATTCCAACATAGTTTCCATGCATCAACACAGGCTCACTATTTGGCAAGATGACTAAGCCTTATGTTGGCTACCTAGCTTACTTTGTCTTCTTCATCAGCCAGCATCCTTGGTATCTGCTGTTCACTGCCCCCCCTTCCATCTTGGTGTTTCTTGGCATCTATTTATGAGTTACTACCATTTCTAATAAGGCTTAGCAGCACAGATACATGTGGGCTCACTATTTGGCAAGCAACCGGTCGCAGTCGCCCCGTTTATCTCATGTCTTATAAAAGCTTATTAAGGATTTATAAAGTGTTCACAAGCTAATTAATTACAAACTATTCGTAAACACTTTATAAGGGTAGTCTTATTGTAAAGTGGTACCCATAAACCTAATAATAAAAATATGCATTATTATTATTATTGAAAATAAATATAATAATATACTTTTGTTTGTTTGGTTATATTTTGTCAGTTAATTATTATTATTATTATTATTATATTGTGTTTGTGGTTCTGTGTCTGCAGGGACTGGCAGGATCAGATGGAGCTCAAGGAGAAAGAGGAGACTCAGGAAACCCAGTAATATATTTATATTTATGATATCAGGGGTTTTTCTGTGGCGCTGATCTTGTATATTATATATAAATTCTCTCGAGATCATGACTCAAGATGTCTCCTGACGTAAACAACAACGTGACGTCGGAGCTCCGTAAAAACAAAGCTGTCTCTGCCGTCTGACGCTCTGATTGATTCTCAGATTTCTGGAGTCATGCTTTCTGGCATCACTTTTACACTTTACGGGGAAAAGCTGCATTTTGGGTTCAGGGTGACACAACCCTGATATATATATTTTTGTTTGTTGTGTAAACGTGATTGAATATTATAATTGATGTATGATAATTGTTGTCTCATTACCTGTGGAGCATTATATAATTATTATGAATTATTTCCACTTTTAACTTCTTTCTCTCTCAGGGTATCCGGGGCATCAGAGGGGAGGCGGGGGTGGCAGGACAGCGAGGACTGAGTGGAGATCCGGTCAGTCAAACTTTTTTTTTTGTTGCTCCATTTTCAATTATAACTATTAAATATGTAAACATCAGTATATAGAATGAGTTAATAAAATAAAAATAAATACAATTAAATAATAATAACATTTAAAAAAGAATTGTATTATATATAAGCTTCTTTTAAATGTTGATAAAACCAAGGTAATGCTTTTTTCAGAATCTAAAAAGACACCAGAGCCTGTTTTGGATATTGTTACTATGCAAGGACAAGTACTCAAAGTGGTTACCAGTTATAAATACCTTGGTATCTGGCTTGATGATTGTCTTACTTTTAAACTTCATGTCAATAACCTGCTTAAAAACTGAGGGTTAGACTAGGTTTCTTTTTCAGAAACAAGTCCTGTTTCTCTTTTGAAGCCAGGAAAAGGCTCTGTGACCTTTGACCTGTGCTGGACTATGGTGATCTGATCTATATGAATGCACCTGCCTATTGCCTGAACAAGTTAGATGCCGTCTATCACAGCGCACTGAGATTTGTCACAAATTGTAAAGCACTTACTCATCACTGTACCCTGTATGCCGAGGCAGGTCTGCCATCACTTACTGTAAAGAGGCTCAGTCATTGGTACACGTTTATTTATAAAGCTTTGTTGGGTAAACTCCCGTATTCTATCTGCTCTCTGATAACACAGAGAGTTGCAAGCAGCTATTGTCTGAGGTCGCATGATGTAGTATTGTTAGATGTGCCAAGAGCAAGGACTGTCTTAGGTAAGACAGCTGTTATGTGCGCAGCTCCACTTGCTTGGAACAATCTCCAGCAAGGATTGAAACTGAGCAATCTCATGTTTTTAAAGCTAGGCTAAATGAAATGCTCGTTGATACTATGGGCACTTATAAATAACTATAACTATGTAAATGTATCCTGTAAATATAATGTATGATCTCCTTTATTGTTTATGTTTTATGTGGAACCTATATGCTGCAGGTCTCCCTTGAAAAAGAGATCTATGATCTCAAGGGACCAATCTGGTTAAATAAAGGTTTGAAATTAAATGAAATGATTATATATAAAACAATAAAGTATAAATAAATATATTGGTATAGATATATTTCAATACAAATGGGAAAATTGTACTACAATGTATACAATAATAAACAACAGTGTGTATTAAATAAATACAATGAATATAATTATGAAAATATTAAATATTAGATTCAAAAATACAAATGAGGACATTATACTATAATATATGCAACAATAAATATTTCGAAAATGCCCAGAGTGGAAATTGAGTTGCTCTACAGTTGCTCCATTTTACAAAAATTAAATATAAAATACAAATTAAATAAATGGAAGAATTGTAGCTAATGTACTGCAATAATAAATATGTGACTAATGTGTATATATATATTAGATTGTATACAATAGTGTGTATAATATATATGGACTGGAAAAGCACAATGGGCCCCTTTTATATCAATGAAGATGGAGCACAGCTGGAGGCTCCACTTAACAAAACAATGCAGAGTTAATCCTCAGAGTTAAAACTTTGATTTAATAATGAGTTTTTGTGGGGGGGTTTTAACAGGCGGAGCGCGGCGTTGATAACACCAGCCCTGGAGCCAAAGGAAACCCTGGGAACCCCGGACCCCCGGTAAAAACAACACACACTCATTCATTTTCTGCCACTACAGGTCACTGAAAGATAACAGCAGTACAAGCTGGAGTTTGGTTTGGTGGTGAAGCAGCGTGGGATCATGGGAGTTGTAGTCCTTTGATTATCATTGAATGTGTTTTAATCTCCAGGGTTTATCCGGAGTGGATGGAGGACCAGGCGTTGCAGGTGACGTTGGATTCAAGGTGGGAGTTGTGACTTTAATACATCTATATCTTTCTAAAGAGTCAATATTTTTAGAACATGTGGAAACATAAAAAAATGTAATCAGTCAAATTCATCTTTAGAAAAATAAAGATAAACACACAAGCTTAAACTTTGGTGCTAATTTTTTAAACCTGCACAAAAAAACACTTCTACTAAAACATTAAAAGTTGCCTCAATTCTCAGAACAACACATTCTACAGAATCAAATGCTGCCTTATATTGTACATTCAAAAAGATTGGCTTACTGCCTTTTTATTCCTCACAAAATGCACATTTATAATATAAATTGTAAAGAAAATAAGATGTTAACCAAAGTCGCCGTGCCTTAAAAAAAAGTTCTAAAAATATAGAGTTGTTGATAGTTGGGAATCCAATTTGTTCCCACCTTGTTGACTTTATCAGAGTGAAACAGTTAGGATGTTTTTAATGTGCTGACGAGCTGTTCTGTGTGTGGCAGGGTGCCGATGGGAGAAGAGGCTCTGTGGGGGAGAAGGTAGGAGAGCGAGATAACGACATACAGCTACATGCAGCCAAATACTGTGTGTTTGAACTGTGTGTGTGTGTGTGTGTGTGTGTGTGTGTGTGTGTGTGTGTGTGTGTGTGTGTGTGTGTGTGTGTGTGTGTGTGTGTGTGTGTGTGTGTGTGTGTGTGTGTGTGTGTGTGTGTGTGTGTGTGTGTGTGTTTTGGTGCAGGGTCCACCTGGAGGGCCTGGGGTTCGAGGATCTAAGGGCATCCCCGGTGCTTCAGGTCCACAGGTGAGTGATCCTCATTATCTGCAAACATCAAAGATGTATTCATAAAGAAGAATAGTAGAGACACTACATACTGATATACACCTGAACATCAGCAGGAGAGGACTCTTTAAAGTAGAGACACTACATACTGATATACACCTGAACATCAGCAGGAGAGGACTCTTTAAAGTAGAGACACTACACACTGATATACACCTGAACATCAGCAGGAGAGGACTCTTTAAAGTAGGGCCACTACACACTGATATACACCTGAACATCAGCAGGAGAGGACTCTTTAAAGTAGAGACACTACATACTGATATACACCTGCACATCAGCAGGAGAGTACTCTTTAAAGTAGAGACACTACACACTGATATACACCTGCACATCAGCAGGAGAGGACTCTTTAAAGTAGAGACACTACATACTGATATACACCTGCACATCAGCAGGAGAGTACTCTTTAAAGTAGAGACACTACATACTGATATACACCTGCACATCAGCAGGAGAGGACTCTTTAAAGTAGAGACACTACACACTGATATACACCTGAACATCAGCAGGAGAGGACTCTTTAAAGTAGGGCCACTACACACTGATATACACCTGAACATCAGCAGGAGAGGACTCTTTAAAGTAGAGACACTACATACTGATATACACCTGCACATCAGCAGGAGAGTACTCTTTAAAGTAGAGACACTACATACTGATATACACCTGCACATCAGCAGGAGAGTACTCTTTAAAGTAGAGACACTACATACTGATATACACCTGAACATCAGCAGGAGAGGACTCTTTAAAGTAGAGACACTACATACTGATATACACCTGCACATCAGCAGGAGAGTACTCTTTAAAGTAGAGACACTACATACTGATATACACCTGAACATCAGCAGGAGATGACTCTTTAAAGTAGAGACACTACATACTGATATACACCTGCACATCAGCAGGAGAGTACTCTTTAAAGTAGAGACACTACATACTGATATACACCTGCACATCAGCAGGAGAGTACTCTTTAAAGTAGAGACACTACATACTGATATACACCTGAACATCAGCAGGAGAGGACTCTTTAAAGTAGAGACACTACATACTGATATACACCTGAACATCAGCAGGAGAGGACTCTTTAAAGTAGAGACACTACATACTGATATACACCTGCACATCAGCAGGAGAGTACTCTTTAAAGTAGAGACACTACATACTGATATACACCTGCACATCAGCAGGAGAGTACTCTTTAAAGTAGAGACACTACATACTGATATACACCTGAACATCAGCAGGAGAGGACTCTTTAAAGTAGAGACACTACATACTGATATACACCTGAACATCAGCAGGAGAGGACTCTTTAAAGTAGAGACACTACATACTGATATACACCTGAACATCAGCAGGAGAGGACTCTTTAAAGTAGAGACACTACATACTGATATACACCTGAACATCAGGCAGGAGAGGACTCTTTAAAGTAGAGACACTACATACTGATATACACCTGAACATCAGCAGGAGAGGACTCTTTAAAGTAGAGACACTACATACTGATATACACCTGAACATCAGCAGGAGAGGACTCTTTAAAGTAGAGACACTACATACTGATATACACCTGAACATCAGCAGGAGAGGACTCTTTAAAGTAGAGACACTACATACTGACATACACCTGAACATCAGCAGGAGAGGACTCTTTAAAGTAGAGACACTACATACTGACATACACCTGAACATCAGCAGGAGAGGACTCTTTAAAGTAGAGACACTACATACTGACATACACCTGAACATCAGCAGGAGAGGACTCTTTAAAGTAGAGACACTACATACTGATATACACCTGAACATCAGCAGGAGAGGACTCTTTAAAGTAGAGACACTACATACTGATATACACCTGAACATCAGCAGGAGAGGGACTCTTTAAAGTAGAGACACTACATACTGATATACACCTGAACATCAGCAGGAGAGGACTCTTAAAGTAGAGACACTACATACTGATATACACCTGAACATCAGCAGGAGAGGACTCTTTAAAGTAGAGACACTACATACTGATATACACCTGAACATCAGCAGGAGAGGACTCTTTAAAGTAGAGACACTACATACTGATATACACCTGAACATCAGCAGGAGAGGACTCTTTAAAGTAGAGTCACTACATACTGATATACACCTGAACATCAACAGGAGAGGACTCTTTAAAGTACAGACACTACATACTGATATACACCTGAACATCATCAGGAGAGGACTCTTTAAAGTAGAGACACTACATACTGATATACACCTGAACATCAGCAGGAGAGGACTCTTTAAAGTAGAGACACTACATACTGATATACACCTGAACATCAGCAGGAGAGGACTCTTTATAGTAGAGACACTACATACTGATATACACCTGAACATCAGCAGGAGAGGACTCTTTAAAGTAGAGACACTACATACTGATGTACACCTGAACATCAGCAGGAGAGGACTCTTTAAAGTAGAGACACTACATACTGATGTACACCTGAACATCAGCAGGAGAGGACTCTTTAAAGTAGAGACACTACATACTGATATACACCTGAACATCAGCAGGAGAGGACTCTTTAAAGTAGAGACACTACATACTGATATACACCTGAACATCAGCAGGAGAGGACTCTTTAAAGTAGAGACACTACATACTGATATACACCTGAACATCAGCAGGAGAGGACTCTTTAAAGTAGAGACACTACATACTGATATACACCTGAACATCAGCAGGAGAGGACTCTTTAAAGTAGAGACACTACATACTGATATACACCTGAACATCAGCAGGAGAGGACTCTTTAAAGTAGAGATACACATGGTGGATGTGTGTGGGAGGGTAGGGATTTGGCAGACCTTAGAGCACATTACAGGAAAATCAAGTGTTTGGCTGCAGATTTTGGACTCGATGACCTGATTGGCTCGCACACAGACTTCCTCATAAATTCACTAGAATTATTGTGTAATACCAAAAGGGAAAACATGAAGAGATGATGCCAGAGAAAATGATTGCTCATCTGGCTCACGCTCTCCAGGTCTGCTGCTGTCAGCTCACAGATCTGACCAGACGCTGTGTTTCCCACGCTGCTTCTGATTAAGATCGTCTCGTAAAATAAGTGATAATAACATGAAAGTCATAAATCCATGAGAAACTAATGATATATTCTCTGACGTTATGAAGTCATGCATTAATGAAAGAATGACATTCTCTGAGATTAAAGTCATGAATTTAGAAAAACCCCTCTCTTCACTTTGCAAGCTTTGACCCTCCTCGTCATGATGCTCTAATGCAGTGGTTCTCAAAGTGGGGGGTGCAGAGGCATGACAGGGTGGCGCGTGAGACCAGGAGGAAACATTGTTATTAAAAAAAAAAAAAAAAAAAATCATATTTGGAAAAATTATTGATTCGAAAATAATATGATACAGTACAGTACTATTACGTCTGGGTCTCTGTGTTTCAATAAAGCTCGGCTCTGTGTGTGTGTGTGTGTGTGTGTGTGGAACGAGCCATTTTGTGTGCGTGCGAGAGAGAGAGATAGCGCACCGGTACCGGAGATCGTTGATGTTAGCTTCTGGTGCTAGCGAGCTACGCTAACGGATATAAGGAGTCTTTTCAACAACAAAGTGGAGGAGAGTCCTCTCCTGTCAGACTGAGAGACTCAGTGAGCTAAAGGACTCTATCAGTGTTATCTCAGTGGGTCTCAAACGTTTTGGTCACCATTAATGTAAACAATTATTTCCGAGGCACACATTGATATGATCATTATAGTTATAAAAAAAGAAGAGAATAAATTAAAAGCAGGTATGAAATACTATATGACATTAAAACAAGAATTAAGTTTAAAAGGGGAGTGATTTGTAAAATATCCATAAAGAAATAGTTAATCTGCTTACAGTTCTGTTTCATCTGGGTGTTGAGAGAGGTATCCATGGATCTCTTCATTTTGCTCTCAAAGTGCACCAGATTGATGCTTTTAACTTCAATATTTAAAAATCTTCCAGGGGGAGCTTGCCCCCGGACCCCCCTATGTGAGGTCCACACACCACCTATAAAAATAGCACTTTACCCCTGCTTACACCTATATGCAGCCGTGAGCTGATTATCGAGCCTTCATTGTAACAGTCGCGGGTACATAGTGTGTGTGCGTGGGGAGTGTTGCAGTAGAAAATTCCTCTGTAGCGCCCGGTACATTAATGGGAAACCCTAAATGTTTGAGCACCCTCTATGAAACGTCAAGCTACCCCACAGCACCCCCAAAATAAATCTCTGGCGCCGCCACTGAGCCTGGCTATTTGTGTTGGGGAGGCCCGACTTTTTTTTTTTCGCCTGACAGAAAAAGTTTGAGAACCACTGATGGTCTAATGTATGAGAATAATATAAAAAAAACATTTCTAATTACCACGTACATTTCTGAGTTTTCTTCTGATATTAATCACAGTTTTTACGTAGTTGTAAACATACATTTATAGAGTATAAATCCCAGTGCAATGCAAGATGAAACATGTTTGAGTGATTCTGGTATGTGCTTCTGCAGGGTCTCAGAGGCGGAGAAGGTGAAACAGGAGAGCAAGGGACCTCTGGCTCCTCCGGACCTCAGGTACTTCCTCGCTGCTCGTCTTCGCTGCAGTTCAGTGTTTTGACTGCATTCAGTAGGTTCACACTGACCTGGGCATAAAAAGGATCTCTACTGGACCATCGCGTCTCCAAACGGACATTTTGGAAAAGAAATGTAGATGTCCAGAAATAAATACAGATAAACACAAATAAATACAAAATAACAGCAATATATAAAAGATTAGAATTAAAACATTTACTAAAGCATAAAGAGACAACAAGGGAACAGTCATTTGCACGTTTATACAACCACCAGTGTCCTTAGGTCATAGGGTTTAACGGTATTAATATGATAAAGTGTATATATTTATATATATGTACATGGGTGTGTTGTTTAAAGACTGAAATGTCAACCTGTGTTTTATTGCTGTGTTGAATTACATTTTTTTCAAGTTTGACATCATTTGTGAATATTCAGGCTGCTGTACTTTTCCAGAAAGTCATAAATAAGTGGTTTTAATTTATGTTTTTCTGAAATTAAACTTGTGTAAACTTTTATTTGGGTAGTTTCAGCACTTCCTGTTCTAAGTCAGTTGTTGTTCTGCAGGGGGGGTTGGGACCAGCTGGAGGCCCGGGGTTACCCGGACGCCGCGGCGCTACTGGACAGAAGGTGTGTGACATCACTTCCTGTTACCTCTCTAGTGATCCAATCAGAGTTGGGGAATTGTGCAGTTAAAATACACACATAGAAGGGACTAAGACACGAGGATAGGAGTCGAGGATAGGAGTCGAGGAGGGGAAATTAGAGAAATGAGAAAGCTTTACCATGTTTCCTATATGAACACATCAAGGTGTGTCTCAATACTTTAGCAGTCATTCATGTGATTAAATGCAGGCAGTAGTTATAGTATCATTATTATCATTATACATACTATTGTGTATTTAGATAAGATAAGATAAGAAGTACTTTATTGATCCCAATGTGGGAAATGTTTGCGTTGCAGCAGAATAAAAAGACAAGGCATTTTACATTAGAGAAATTAAAAGACTAGAAATAAACAATCAAAAATGTAAACATCTCAAATAGAAATAAACAATAGCATTAAAAAAGTAGGAAATATACATGTTGAAATACAAACATATAATATATATATATATATGGATGAAACTGGTTTACCCAATATGCTGCTCAATAAAGATTGTTTGAGAACATTCAAAACTATAATGTAGGAAGATACATTTGACTTAACAACTAACAATGGGATCTTTTATTTTAAATACTGATGTTGTTGTTGTTGTTGTTGCAGGGCCAACCAGGGGAGCTGGGGGGTGAGGGGGACCCAGGGTCACCGGGACCCCACGGACTGCCGGTGAGGCGCCAAACATCAGCCATATGGTATAAACTGTATTTAGAGTTGAACGAAGTGACTCTTATTGCCTGTGTGTGTCTCAGGGTCAGGATGGTAGAGACGGGTATGGACCTCCAGGACAAACAGGTGCACAGGTAAAGCTCATCTTGACCACATAAAGAATTCCATAAAACCATTCAAAGAGAACTGGACTGATGCTTATTGAGTATTATTATAAATGACTCTTGTGGAGTGCTCGTGTTTGATTGGTTGAATCCATGCAACACTACAGTCGACGCATCCAATGAGAAGTCCTCAATAAAAGACTCTTTACACTGAAAAAATGTTAAATATTGCCGAGTATATTTATCTAATTTCTAGTCAGAATATGTCGTTACATTTGATATAAGACTTAATAACTTAAGTATTGTTTTTAGACAAGGCATCTTTTGAAGTCAAAGTCTCTTAAAAACATCTTATTTTAGAGGAACATCTCCACTAACATCAGGAAACAGAATCTAAGCATTTCTGGCTTTTTTTTTACAAATTCCCTGATTCTGGTCAAACATAGTTCAGAATGAGTTTCCCCAGCTAAACACAAGATCTCATTTATCTAATCATCCCATCTTTACTTCAAGAACTCTCACCAAGCCACTTTGTACTTGTTCTATTGGCTGATTTGTTCACTCATTAAAAGAGAAAACATCTTGTTTTTATTATATATTGACTTTTTGGAGCAGCTTTTTGTTCCAGTGTACATTACATGTTTTTCTTTGGAGGAACAACATGCACAAGATCCTGGTGCAACTTCTAAGCAGAATTGTTAATTAGATTACCCGGGTCAACGCTGTTTCCTACAGTGACCTCACACGGGGCACCAGATCCTCTCCGAACAACAGACAGGAAGAAACATACAGAAAAACGTCCAACACTAGATAAATAAAGATAAACAAACATTCTAAATATCACATTTCCAGCTTAGTGAACCTGGAAATGTTGAATACCCCAACGATATTAATGTAAAGTAGGGTCTCCAGCTTGTAGAAACTGCTGGATGCTAACCTGCAGATGTTGGGACATTTGCACAATCAGCATGAGTTGCATTCATTAGCATATGGAGGATCAACAATGGCAAAAATAATCAAAATCAGTCCAGCAAGACTACAAATATGGCCACTTCCTGGTTAAAACTGCCATCTTTGATCCCGAAAACGGCAGAAATGGATCCAACATCCTCAATAACCTCCCAAAACACTCCTAATGTTTTCAAATCACCCAAGCCATTTATCAACTATTGTCTCCATTACTGCTAATTAACGCAACTTATGCTAATTGTGTAAATGTCCCAACATCTGCAGGGTAGCATCCGGCAGTTACTATGAGCTGGAGACCCTACATTTATATCATAACACTTTAGGGTACTCAACATTCCAGGGTTTACAGCATTTTCTGAGCAAATTAACCCATTCATTATAATGATCATATATTTTCTAGGTTGTCTAGGTCTATTTTGACTGTCACATGACTCCACACAATTGTACTGGCTTATTTGATTGGGTGTCTATGAGCCAATCACAGTGCGCCACATCATCTAAAGTGGCCTGTAAAGTAGAGCCACGCCCCTCTTTCACAGCCAGCATGGCAGGGGGGAGATTTTTAATTTTAGAAATACCATTAAATGCTGGGACTCGGGTCTGGATTTACAAAAATGAAAGAAGAACATATATTCCTTTTTTTTTCTTTTGATATACTTTATTAATCCCCGTGGGGAAATTGTTTCTCTGCGTTTGACCCATCCTAGTGTTAGGAGCAGTGTGCTGCCATTTTGAACGGCGCCCGGGGAGCAGTGTGGGGAACGGTGCCTTGCTCAGGGACACCTCGGTAGCACTTGGTCTTGCCGGGACTTGAACTGGTGACATTCCAGTTGCCAAGCCAAGTCCCTATGGACTTCGCCACCACCGCCCCATTCGCAGATATTCCTATGTGTATTATTATATTGAACACCTCTTTGCTCTGTTTATAAAATATAAAGGCAATAAGTTAAAACTGGTTGATGCAAAGGCACTTATTATCTGACATTTTATGATTTTTCTTTACAGGGAGCTCCTGGTTTCCCTGGTAACCCCGGTCTGAGTGTGAGTCCAAACTCTTTCTAAGAATTGAGATTAAAGTCTCAAAAACATGAACATTCAAAGTGTGTGTGTGTGTGTGTGTGTGTGTGTGTGTGTGTGTGTGTGTGTGTGTGTGTGTGTGTGTGTGTGTGTGTGTGTGTGTGTGTGTGTGTGTGTGTGTGTGTGTGTGTGTGTGTGTGTGTGTGTGTGTGTGTGTGTGTGTGTGTGTGTTTTTTCAGGGAGAGGACGGCCAGCAGGGAACTAACGGGTTCCTCGGGATGAAAGGGAACCGAGGGCGAGGGGTGAGAGACAACAAACCTCTTATATATTACATTACATTGCATTTAGCTGACGCTTTTATCCAAAGCGACTTACAATAAGTGCGTTCGACCAACAAAATACAAACTTGAAGAAAACAAAATCATAAAGTACATCAGGTTTCATCGAGCCAAACATTTCAAGTGCTACTCAACTGGCTTTAGGTAATCCAGTCCTTTATTAGTATATAAGTGCTTCGTTAATCGTTCTATCGCTCGAAGTGGAGTCCAAAGAGATGAGTTTTCAGTCTGCGCCGGAAGGTGTGTAAGCTATCTGCTGTCCTGATGTCAATGGGGAGCTCATTCCACCATCTTGGAGCCAGGATAGCAAACCCACGTGTTTTTGCTGATGGGAACTTGGGTCCCCCTTCGCAGCGAGGGTGTAGCGAGTCGTTTGGCTGATGCAGAGCGTAGTGCACGCGCTGGGGTGTACGGTTTAACCATGTCCTGGATGTAGGAAGGGCCAGATCCATTCGCAGCATGGTAAGCAAGTACCAGTGTCTTGAAGTGGATTCTAGCAGTTACCGGAAGCCAGTGAAGGGAGCGGAGGAGCGGAGTGGTGTGGGAGAATTTAGGAAGGTTGAAGACCAGATGAGCCGCTGCATTCTGGATGAGCTGCAGAGGTCGGATGGCACATGCAGGTAGACCAGCCAGGAGGGAGTTGCAGTAGTCTAGGCGTGAGATGACGAGAGCCTGGACCAGAACCTGAGTCGCTTTCTGTGTCAGCTGGGGACGTATCTTCCTGATGTTGTAAAGCGTGTATCTGCAGCAACGGGTTGTAGCAGCGATGTTTGCAGTGAAGGACAGGTTGTTATCTAGGGTCACACCCAGATTCCTTGCAGTCTGAGTCGGGGAAACAACTGAGGTGCCGATGTTGATTGTTAGGTCAAGAGTGGGACAATCTTTTCCCGGAAGGAAGAGCAGCTCAGTCTTGTCAAGGTTGAGCTTGAGGTGATGAGCAGACATCCACTGAGAGATGTCAGCTAGACAAGCAGAGATGCGTGCGACGACCTGGGTCTCTGAGCGGGGAAAGGACAGAATGAATTGGGTGTCGTCAGCGTAGCAGTGGTAAGAAAAACCATGCGGGCTAATGACTGATCCGAGCGAGTTTGTGTACAGGGAGAAGAGGAGGGGACCAAGAACAGAGCCCTGAGGGACCCCTGTAGTTAATTGACAAGGGTCGGACTCGGACCCTCTCCAAGAAACCCTGTAGGTGCGGTCTTTGATGAGGTGAGGAGGGAAAGTGCAGAGCCTGAAACTCCAAGTTCTTGGAGAGTGCGAAGGAGGATCTGATGATTCACCGTGTCGAATGCAGCAGACAGGTCCAACAGGATGATGACAGAGGAGAGGGATGCAGTTTTGGCAGTGTGCAGTTCCTCCGTGACAGCAATGAGAGCAGTTTCTGTGGAGTGACCTGCCTTGAAACCAGACTGGTGCGGATCCAGAAGGTTGTTCTGATGGAGATAACAGGAGAGTTGTTTAAAGACAGCGCGTTCAAGTGTTTTAGACAGGAACGGGAGGAGAGAGACAGGCCTGTAGTTTATAACATCAGACGGGTTGAGAGTGGGTTTCTTTAGGAGAGGGTTTACTCTTGCCTCCTTGAGACTGTTTGGAAAGTGACCAGAAGTTAGAGAAGTGTTGATGAAATGGGAGAGAAACGGTAGAATATCAGGAGCGATAGTCTGAAGGAGGTTTGAAGGGATGGGGTCCAGAGGACAGGTGGTAGGGCGGGCAGAGGTAATGAGGGTAAGAACCTCACTTGGAGAGAGAGGGGAAAAGGAGGTTAGTGTGTTGGTGGAAGGAGGGTCTGGTGACCCAGCGGTGAGTAGAGGTGAGTCAGAAAAGAAGAGCGAAGATCATCAACCTTTTTTTCAAAGTGGGTAACAAAGTCGCTTGACAGAAGGGAGGAGGGGGAAGGGGCTTTGGGGGGGTCCAGGAGGGAGGAGAAGATGGAAAATAGTTTTTGGGGATTGGAATAGGAAGATTGGATCTTATCTTGAAAGAAAGTGCTTTTTGCCTGAGAGATCGAAGCAGAGAAAGAGGAGAGGAGAGCCTGATAGGTTAGGAGGTCGTCACGGTGTTTGGATTTCCACCATTTCCGCTCTGCTGCCCGAAGGACAGTTCTATTAGCACGCAGTGCGTCATTTAGCCAGGGAGCAGGAGGAGACTGACGAGCCTGCCGAGATGTGAGAGGACAGAGAGAGTCCAGAGAGAATGAGAGAGTAAGGCAAGGCAAGGCAAGGCAAGTTTATTTATATAGCACTTTTCAACACAAGGCAATTCAAAGTGCTTTAAGTAGAGTAGAGTAGAGAGGAGAGTTTCTGCAGCAGAGTTTGGAGGTAGGAGTTGGAACGAGTCAGAGGAAGGGAGGGCTGAGAGCACCGATGAGGCAAAGGGGGAGTGGGAGAGCGAACAAAGGTTACGGCGGACAGGTGCAGGATGAGAAGAGATTAGTTTGTTATGTTTGGAAAGGGGTAGAGAGAATGAAATGAAGAAGTGATCGGATGTGTGGAGCGGGTTTACAGAGAGGTTAGAAGTAGCGCAGTTCCTTGAGAATATGAGATCAAGGACATTGCCAGCTTTATGAGTTGGCCGGGCCCAAGCAGCGTTTCTCAAGTATTAGTTTGACTGCTACTAACAATACATTGAAGTACTTTTACTGTGTATCTTTTGGGAAATACTCAAAGTCCCCTCCTGAGAACCACCTGGTGATGATGAGAGCAAAATGTATGAATGTGTGAGTGTAAATATATATATATGTGTAAAAGGAGAATGTATGTGCGTCAGAGGACCAGTATGAATTACGGCCTGTACGGCCCCTCATATATAAAGGGGACATGCATGATGTGTGTGTATGTAACACACAAATATACATAGTATTGATATAGTTCCCATGTGAACCCGGACATTTTGAGTACCCCAAAGCCTATGTTGACCTTGTTACAAAATGTCTTGGCCGATTTTGACAGTTTGTTTTGGAAGTTATTGAGGATCCTGAGTCCATTTCTGACATTTCCAGGATCAAAAATGGCAGTTTTAACCAGAAAGTGATCATATCTGTTCTCTCAGTGGGCTGAATTTGACTACCATGACTAGTGTTGTGATCATTGGATATAGAGAGCACAATATGAACATTATTACCTCTACTGTGGACACTTTATCTTCAATTAAATAAGCAATCAGTCCAATCCAAATGGTCCCTAAAACCTCCAAATTGACCCAAAATAATCTAAATCAGCTCACTGAGATTACAAATATTGGCATTTTCTGGTTAAAACTGTCATTGTTGATCCTGGTAATGTCAGAAATGGATTCAGCATCCTCACTAACCCCCAGAACCACTCCAGAACTGTCCAAATCTGCCAAGCCATCTTTTTAACTATTGTCAACATACAGTAGGCTAATGCCATTAGTTTGGTTAACGCAACTCATGCTATTTGTTCAAATTGCCCAAGATATGCAGGTTAGCATCCCGCAGTTTCTATGAGCTGGAGACCCTACTATACATTTCTATCATCACACTTTGGGGTCCTCAACATTTCGGTTTATACTCATTTCGCCCCTGTCCCATGCAGCCCCAACAACAGCCTCTGATTCGTCAACAGACTTCATGCAATGCTTCATTGGATGCATCATTAGATCTGTAAACTCTAACCCTAACTCTAAGACCCACGACCAAGCAAACAAGTATAATTTCTTATGTGGCCTAATGTAAAAAAGGGAAGAAATGGGCGAAGTGGCAATGGGGCGAGATGGTAAGACACCCAACATTTCAGGGTTCAACAGGACTCTATTGGCGCGTTTCCACTACAGCGCGGAGCTCGCTTTAAGCGTGCCGAGCCGTGCAGGGCCCGTTTTTGGTTGCGTTTCCACTTGGCCTAGTACCGGCTAGCGGGTCCTAATTCACAGTTTTTCTGGCCCCATAAAATCGTGGTTCTAGGGCCAGGAACAACCAGGTTGAGTCGGGCTGAGTATGCGAAACTAGAGAGAGAATCGCTGGCAAGGGGGCTACAACTACAACAAGATGAACATATTTTACCGTGATTTAATACATGTTTCAAAATGATGCCGAAGTAACAACATACTGATACCGGTTAGTAAAAACCATGAATTAACGCTTTGACAAGTCTGCAGACAGACGGCAGGCGAAAAACCCTTTAAAATGCGTGTTTTATGAATGGAGATTGGCTAAGCTAACGCAGTATATGCTCCGACCGTCCACACTCACAACAACGGCCTACAGACATAAATAAACCAGCGACTGTATTCTCCATGACACAGGCAGTCTGTGGTTTGTACTTGTTTAACTTTTGTCTAGTTTCTGAACAGATATGAGGAGCTGTGAGCTCTGAGTGCTAAGAGCTAACGGCTGATGTTGGTTTTGTGTTTCGCATTGAAGATGACGTCACGGCTCCGCCTACACTGCGTTACTATAGTTACTGCCCCAGCTACTAAACTGAAATGGAAATGCGCCATAAAGTGAGACGGGCCTACCAAGGCCTAGCCATACCGAGCGAGGCCGAGCGAGGCCGTGTAGTGGAAAAGCGCCATAAGAGACTATAGCGCTTTTCCCAGTGCTCAAAGACGCTTATTATATTAAGTTTATCATGTTTTATTTTTTAAGTATGACTTAATGCTGCATGTAAACACTATCCTCACGATGGATCCAGAGCAGAGCCAGGCAGCACAGGTCCGTTTCCTGTGCTGTGTTTTCACTCCATCTCCAATTGACTTCTTTTCTTTCAATATATTTACATTTTATTTTCAGGTGAGACAATACCAAAAACATTAGAGACAACACGACAAAACGTAATAAAACCCACAAAACAATAACAACAAACAACGACAAAAATAGACAAACAGCAACAGTAGTAAATACAACCTTATCATGTTCTATTTACGCCCACAGTTATAACACTTGACCATTCTTCCTTCATGTACGGTGCAATCGGGGACCAGTCTCTAACACATTCACCCAGAGTTCTCGCAACTAGCAGTTTATTTCTATGTTTCCTTCTGATGGACCCAGGGGAACTCAGGCGGGTCGGGAGGACCAGGAACGCCTGGAGAGCCGGGACATCCAGGACACCGGGTGAGAGGAGAATCATTTCATTTTCATTCAAAACATAAAGTCTTCCCTCTGAACTCTCGTAACGACATCATCCAATAAGAATAAGAGAAACTTTTATTAACCCGGAATTTCAGTTTTTCTCTCTGGTGTTATTTCACTTGTATTGAACTGAGTCGGTACATCTCTTTCTATTCGTGGTTTCCAATGGATTATTTTCAGCCCTGTTTTTGTGTTTCCAGTTATAACATTTCATTTAAGTAGGGAGGCGTGGAGGAAACTTCTGTGTAGCAATGCAGTGGGAGTCACCGACTCATGAAGGAGACACGGGACGAGCAGGAGTTCTGATGTCAAACACTGAGATTTAATACAAGCATCGGCCAGAGAAATTCACATCACAAGTCACACAGTCAAAGGTTCTGACTGCACGGGTGGGTTGCCATGTCAATTCTGATCAGCCTCGCATCTTGGTAGACCCTTTAACTAGTTTACAAAGAGTCAACCCCACATATTGGGGATGGGCGTAGACATCTACATACACAGGAGATGTCTCTCACATCTCTGGAGCTTAGAAAGTCAGCGTTCTCACACTCGCAAAACCTCCCTGTGCCCACCAGGTCAGGTCATAAAACCTAGTATCAACATACGACTGCATTAACACATTCCTTACGGGAGATTAGAAGTAGGGATGGTCGTAAATGTCAATACACAAAATAAGGTTAAATGTCTAAGGAGTAAAGACAAAATTAATCCCTAACAGTTGGTGTGTGGTGCAGTGGATAGAGTCTTGGTGTTGGGATCAGGGGGGCACAGGTTCAAACCCCACTGCAGTCAGCACGTCGTTGTGTCCCTGAGACACTTCACCCCAAATTGGGGTTTTTCTAGAAAGATGTAATTGTCATTGTTCTGTCAACTCACACAAACTCAAATAGCATTGGGTTCCTGAGCCGAGTCCCTCCTGAAAACCTGACCTTCTGAAAATGTTCTGATGTTGCTGTTTCCCTCCGTCAGGGTCCCAAGGGTCCTCCAGGACTCAGAGACAAGACTGTGAGTCAAAGTCACTTTTACTCAAGTACTGTACTTAAAATACGAGGTACTTTTACTTCACTGGAGTGTTTCCATTCTCCCATGTCTTGTACTTCTACTTCACTTTACAGGTAAATGCTGAATTTACCAAAGCTTTAGTTTATTTTACTCCTTTAGTTACTTTGGTACTTTAACTACATTTTACTGCACAATGTATGATTTTACTTCAATTACTTTAAATACTTTTTACTGACATGTACTTTTACTTCGTTTTACTGCACAACCAATACTGTTCCTTCAACTTGAAATAATTGTTGATGCACAATTCATACTTTTTCTATACGTTTTGAATACATTTGACTGATACATACTTTTACTTCGAGTACCCTAAATACTTTTTACTGATACATACTTTTATTTTACTTACTTTTACTACATCATACTGAACAATGAATTATTTTACTTCAAGTACTTTAACTACATTTTACTGATACACACTTTTTCTTAAGGTACTTTTAATACTTTTTACTGCACAATCCATACTTTTACGTCAAGTACTTTAAATACTTTTGACTGATACATACTTTAACTTCAGTATGGTTTAAATGCAGGACTTGTACTTGTATTAGAGTATTAATATTGTTTATTATAATGTAATGTATTGTGTTGTCAGGAGTGTCAGCTGATCTCCCTCATCAGAGACAACTGTGGTGAGCGTTTCCACATCTGTTTCAAATCAGTGTTCACGTATGAAGGATTAAAGACAATCATGTGAACGTAATACGTCTGAGAGTTTCATATTACTAAATTAATTGTGTTTAATTTTGACTAAAGAATTAAGTGCAGATTGTACCGACCCATGTAAAGGCTGTTCAATTTTAACACTGTCTTTTCTCCTCATACAGAATGTCATCAAGGTACGTATATCTTTAATTTGTCACTGTAAACAATGTGGTAAGCACAATAAAAAAAATGATATAATTCACCTTTTAACCGTTTACCCTCATTTTGAATGTCTGTTACCTGTGATTTTGGACGGTTGGGTAACATGACGCTGAATTATATTAATTTTTTCTGCAATATTTTGGTTTTTAGAGGGTTAACCCAATCTGCCCAATCCTTGCACAACAATGTCCATGTCTATCTATCTACCCTACCTACCCTATCTAACTACCCTATCAATCGTCCCCGTCACTCCTCCAGGGGCCTCTTCGTGCCCGGCCTTCCCCACGGAGCTGGTTCTGGGGCTGGACATGTCGCAGGACGTGACCCCGACGGCCTTCGAGCGGCAGCGCTCCGCCCTGCTGTCTCTGCTGGAGGACGTCTCCGTCTCCGAGAGCAACTGTCCGACGGGGGCCCGGGTGGCCGTGGTGGGATTCAGCGCCCACACCAAGTACCTGATCCGCTTCCAGGACTACCGGACCAAGACGCAGCTGCTGGAGCTGCTGAGGAACGTGGCCCTGGAGAAGACGTTCAGCCGGCGCCAGCTGGGGGCCGCCATGCGCTTCGTGGGGCAGCACGTCTTCAAGCGTGTGCGAGCGGGGGTGATGATGAGGAAGGTGGCCGTCTTCCTCTCCAACGGGCCATCGCAGGACGTGGATGACATCGTCACCGCCACCATGGAGTACCGCGGCCTCAACATCGTCCCCGCCGTCATCTCGCTGAAGAACGATAACAACACCGCCGCGGCTCTGGAGGTGGGTCCGGGAGTACAACGATTTACTTTACATGTAGCTGACGCTTTTATAAGATAAGATGGAAATGTATTTATCCCCTTGGGAAAATGTAGGTGTTTATGGCAGAGTTAAAAACAGGATTCACACAAGGTCAAAATAAAGATGAAATAGAATACAAATTAAAATAATAATACAGCACAGATAAAGTGAAACAGTAAAAAGTTGAGCAAACTAAATATAGAAGTTGTGGATCTCTGTGATTAAAGGTAAAAATAACTCAAATTTAGCAGCAGAGGGAGATTTGATGTACATGGTATGGACTTAAAACATACTAGTACCCAGAGTTGGGTGTAACGCGTTACAAAGTAACTGTAATAATATTACTTTTGTCGGTAACGGAGTAATGTAACGCTTTTATAATTCAGTAATCACACTACAGTTAGCCTACTAACAAAGACTTACTAGATTCTCCCTTTGACAGACAAGAAGGATTTCCGCCGCAGGTTTATATTTACGTAACATTTGTGTGACTTGCGCGTCCACATGCAGTGCATAAACATGGCTGAGTCAATAGCGATTCTTTCACACACACATACGGGTATTGGGCCGAGGGCGACGCCGTACTTCCGGTATCCACCATTTCACACGAGGTGCAACCAGGATATCATAGTCTATTGCCTTAATCAATATCTAGTCAACTCTAAAATACCACATATATGCATTGGCATGATAATATTATTGTGACAAGTGGGGTATTCACCTGGTGTTTCCAGAAGATAGACGTAGATGCAGCCAAAATCGACGCAGTCTGTAAGGGCAATCCAACAACCCACACAGCTCTAGTGTACGCTGGTAACGACCTCGAGCACACCCCTCAAGTCCAGAGATGTAATCCGAAGACATGCATAGATTTCTTCGGTCGTTAATTCAGAAAAAAAACCTAGTGCGCTCTGCCTGGCTACGTTAGCTAGCTGTTTATATTAGCACCTCCAGGATATTTGCACCTCCAGGAAAATGGCGTATTTATATATATATATGGCGCGTGTTGCATTGTGGGTAGCTTGTGACGTCACTGTGTGTGAAAGAATAACTTTCGAGGGGTGGAGGTCAGCCCATTATTTTGAGTTTGTCTGAAGAAAGGACAGGAATGTGACGGTTATAGTTAAGGGGGGGGGGGGTGCTAGTGGAGCCAAAAACTGTGGCACACTTGTAGGTGCGCCGCATTTACGCTTCAAAATGAAGCACCCTCCGCAGTCTGCGTGATCTGCCTGCGAGTAAGGTAATGAGTAAAGTAAAAAGCGCGTTGTAGCGAGTAACGAAGTAAAGTAATATATTACTTTTTTTGAGTAACGACCCCATCTCTGCTAGTACCACTAATAACAATAAATCCTCCTGCCGTTGTTAAATAAATGCTGATGTTTGAGAGCAGGCTGGTGTCGTTGTGTTTGAGGGTTGTCAGTCCTTTGATGAACAGCTGCTGTTTATGATCTCAGGTGGACGACTCCAGATCCTCCATGTTCACGGTGCTGAGGAGAACCGCTGACCTGATGAAGGTTAAGAACTGTGCCATCTGTTACGGTACGCAGCCACACACACACACACACACACACACACACAGGGAATACTGTCCTTGTCTCAGATATATACAAATATATAAAAAACATGTCTATATTTGTATATATCTGAGACCTATGCTATTGCCTAAAAATAACATGATAGGTGACCTTTAATACTCAATGTTGCCTGTGGTGTTCCCTCAGACCCGTGCCAGCGCTCGCAGCAGTGCTCCTTCATCCTGGACCCGCTGGCGCCTCAGGAGGCGGATGTGGACCTGGTTCTGGTTCTGGACAGCTCCAGGGAGGTGCAGGCTGATGAGTACTCCGGCATGCAGCAGCTGCTGGGCTCCGTGGTGGAGCAGCTGGCCGTGAGCCCCACCCCCCGCAGGCCCGGATCAGGGGCCCGGGTGGCCCTCGTCCAGCAGAGCGGCTTCCGGGCCCCCAAGGTGGAGTTTGGGTTCGGGACCTTCCAGACCTCCGGCCAGATGAAGAGGCACCTGATGAACATGACGCAGCAGGTACACCGTCCCTGATACCAATACTATGTTAGGAGAATAAAGTGGTACATGTTAGGCAGCAGAACAGACCCAGGTGCAGACACAGACAGTAGCATTTGGAAAAAGGTTTATTTTCTGGGGGGGGGAAAGCTGGGTTGATCAGAGCTGAGATGGGGGGTCCGGGGTGTGAAGGGAAGCCGAATGGGAGGGAATCCGGTCAGAGGTTGTGGGTCTGAGCGGTCTACAGGGGCTGGAGCAGAGCAGGCAGGACTGCAGGGGAACACAGACAGAACAGGATCAATCTCTAACATGACCTGGCTTGATGTATACGCTGAGGAGCAGCTTCTACCATCTGGCAGCGTGGATGAGTCAGGCTTCAGCTGGTGGGGGGCTGCTCTGGCTCCAGCACACCTGCAGACACTCAGACAGGGAGAACCAATGATCAATGATCAGCCAGGGCATTGAGTAAAACATGTAACAGTACATTTACTGGATTGGAGATCAAAGTGGCATAGCTGCTATCTGGCTAAAGAAGTAATGGTTCTTCTTTCCTTCACTGTGGATGCAGGGCGGCTCCTCGGCGCTGGGCGTCACTCTGAACATGGCCCTGACGGAGCTGCTCCTGAAGGCAGCGCAGCCCCGCAGGAGGAGGGTGGTGCTGACCCTGGTGGGAACCAGCACGGCCCCCCAGGACCGGGCCCAGCTCAGCTACGTCTCCCAGAAGGCCCAGTGTGAGGGGGTGGCGCAGTTCGTGGTGACGGTGGGCGAGCGCTACGACCGCAGGCAGGTGGAGGAGGTGGCGGGGGGGCCACTCCTGCAGCACCTCATCCACCTGGACCGACTGAAGGCCGAGGAGCAGAGCTACACCCAGCGCTTCTTCAGGGTCTTCCTCTCCGCGCTCAGCAGTGAGGACACACACTCTACGCTCTACACACACTCTACACTCTACACACTCTACACACACTCTACACTCTACACACACTCTACACTCTACACACACTCTACACTCTACACACACTCTACACTCTACACACACTCTACACTCTACACACACTCTACACTCTACACACACTCTACACTCTACACACACTCTACACACACTCTACACACACTCTACGCTCTACACACACTCTACGCTCTACACACACTCTACGCTCTACACACACTCTACACACACTCTACACTCTACACACACTCTACGCTCTACACACACTCTACGCTCTACACACACTCTACACACTCTACACCCAGCGCTTCTTCAGGGTCTTCCTCTCCGCGCTCAGCAGTGAGGACAGTGGGGGGGGTGGATAACTCTCAGATTACGTTGGACACTCGCTGCAATTAAAGTAGATTTTGTTTTGGTAAATGTCTCCCAGATGAAAGTGGTACATTAACACTTTCTAAAAAATATTTTAATTAGATATTAAAGTGTTATATTTACAGGATTGTTTTCTAATTTTTGCTGAGATTAAAGTGTTGATTTTAGATTCTCTTTTAATTTGTTAGACATAAAAGTGGTACATTTACTACATTATGTTTTTATCATAAAATACAGTGGTGCAAATAGTGGCAAAATTAAACTGGTGAATTTTCTAGATTTTCTTGTATTTATTCTGGGATTAAAGTAAATATACTATATTATTTAGTATTTGTATCAGACATTAAAGTGGTAAATATACTTCTCTCTGCTCTCCACATTGAGAAAACTCATTCACACTTCCAATACATTTTCTAATTAAAGCGGACGACGAAGAGTGTGCAAAGTTGACATCACGGATTATATTGTTGTTTCAATAACAAAAGTGTTTGTATTTGTGTTGTTTTTCCAGAGGGAGTGATCAAGTATCCTCCTCCGTCTCTAGCCTGCAGTGAACTGAGAGACCCAGCAGACACACAGCAGCTCAACGGGTAACTCACACTTCACGGTTTACACACAACTGTAAAGCTGCAGAAAAGAGGACAACTCAAGTAAAGTAGTTCAAAATGTACCGACTGATTCGTACAGTTTGTGGTATCAGTGCAATGGTACCAATGTTAAACACTTGTAGTCGGCGTTACGGCAGAATCACAGATGTAGAAAAACAAAAGAAGAGTTGTTCTTCTCGTGCTGAAAGAGCTAAGGCGGCGGAGAAAGTTAAATGAAAGAAATGCAAAGAGACACCAAAAGGAAAGGATCCGAATACTTTTCCAACATGGCCGTCCAGTCAGGGCGAGAAGTTTGAGGATCGGACGGGAGGACGGACTGAGAGCCGTGGAGACGAGGTGATTCCCCTCGCTGGAGCTGTCAGGGCTGCCAACACTCACGCATTGAGCGTGAGAGTCACGCAATGAACCCATATCTCACGCACTCACGCCACACTTGCCTTTCCTCACGCTAAGTTTCCGTCCAAAATAAATGTATAAATATAAAAATAAAGTGAAGGAACAGCAAACCAGACGGTCTTCTGGCTCAGTCAGTAAAGTTGGAACGATATTGGGAGATTCTGATTTCACGGATCAATAACTCATGAACAAAACGTTATTCAGACACAAAGTACGTCTCCTAAGTACCGTGGTAAGGTTGACAACGAACTACAATCACATGTTGATCAAAAAAAGCCAATACGCGCCGTCCTCCGAGCTGGACACATTACATTGGTCTCTATCCGCAGCCGGAGAAGAAACGAGTGCTCAGGGACCGTCTGCAAAGTGCAACTCCCAAAAAAGAGAATACAATATTCAATCACTTCACTATTATACAGTTTATTACTACCAAACTCACCACACACATCAATAGTCTCCTGGTGGTCATACTACAGCAAGGAGTTTGGAAGAATATGCTTTTGAATAATTTTGGGGAATATGTATTATGTAAAATCATCTTCAATAACTGTGGCATCATCCTAAATAATGTTACTATCATACAGTATATTTCTACCAAACTCACTATTTGCATTGTTGTAGTTAGCATCTGGTTAGCTAGCTGTGCTAACGGATATTAGAAGCTGTTTCTAAAACAATGAGAGGGAGAGCTCTCTCCTGTCAGACTGAGAGATAACTACAGCTCAGTGAGGTAACGGACTCTGAGTGTTTAGATAGTTAACTTTACTCTAGTTATCTCAGTGGGTCTCAAACGTTTTGGTCACCATTTATGAGAATAAATGAAAAACAGTTATGAAATACTATGACAGTAAAACAAGAATACAGTTTAAAAGGTGAGTGATTTGTAAAATATCCATAAAGAAAAAGAAAATCTGTGTACAGTTCTGTTTCATCTGGGTGTTATAAATTCAGTTTGCTCTGAAAGTGCACCAGGTTGATGCATTTAACCCGGACCCCCCTAGAGGAGGTGAGGACCCCCCCCCCCCCACTTATAAAATAGCACTTTACCTCTGCTTACACCTATATGCCATTTGATATGCTGTGAGCTGATTATCGAGCCTTCGTTGTAAGAGTCGTGGGTACACTGTGTATGAGCGTTTTCCTCTGGAGCGCCCGGTACATTAACGGGAAACCCTTGTTTGAACATGTTCAATACATTTGTAACACTGTACACATGAACGCTTCTTTTTTCGGTTCACCAAAAAAAATCTCACTCCAAGCTGAACTCAAATGTTGGCAGCCCTGGTAGAGACCATAGAATCTAGACTGTATATATAAAGATAAAGAGACACACAGAACACACACACACACACACACACACACACACACACACACACACACACACACACACACACACACACCTAACTCATCTCTGGAATTGAGCTAGGTAGCTACACACACACTGCAACAATATAAAATCTTGCCAAGTATATTTGTCTAATTTCTAGTCAGAATATGTCGTTAAACTTGATCCATCCATCCATCTTCTCCCGCTTATCCGTGGTCGGGTCGCGGGGGTAGCAGTTCCAGCAGAGAGCCCCAAACTTTCTTTTCCCTGGCGACATCAACCAGCTCTGACTGGGGGATCCCAAGGCGCTCCCAGGCCAGCGAAGAGATATAATCCCTCCACCTGGTCCTAGGTCTACCCCTTGGTCTCTTCCCAGCTGGACGTGCCTGGAACACCTCCCTAGGGAGGCGCCCAGGTGGCATCCTAACTAGGTGCCCGAACCACCTCAACTGGCTCCTTTCGACGCGAAGGAGGAGCGGCTCAACTCCGAGTCCCTCCCTGATGACCGAACTTCTCACCTTATCCCTAAGGGAGACACCAGCCACCCTGCGGAGAAAACCCATCTCGGCCGCTTGTATCCGCGATCTCGTTCTTTCGGTCATGACCCATCCTTCATGACCATAGGTGAGGGTAGGAACGGAAATGGCCCGGTAGACAGAGAGCTTTGCCTTCTGGCTCAGCTCCCTTTTCGTCACAACGGTGCGGTAAAGCGACTGCAGTACCGCTCCCGCTGCTCCGATTCTCCGGCCCATCTCACGCTCCATTGTTCCCTCACTCGAGAACAAGACCCCGAGATACTTGAACTCCTTCACTTGGGGTAAGGACTCATTCCCTACCTGGAGTGGACAGTCCATCGGTTTCCTGCTGAGAACCATGGCCTCAGATTTGGAGGTGCTGATCCTCATCCCAGCCGCTTCACACTCGGTTGCGAACCGATCCAGTGAGTGCTGAAGGTCGCAGACCGATGAAGCCATTAGAACCACATCATCTGCAAAAAGCAGTGGTGCAATCCTTAGTCCACCGAACTGCAGACCCCCTCCCCCATGACTACGCCTCGAAATCCGATCCATGTATATTACAAACAGGATTGGTGACAAAGCGCAGCCCTGGCGGAGGCCAACCCTCACCGGAAATGGGTCCGACTTACTGCCGAGGACCCGGACACAGCTCTCGCTTTGGGAGTACAAAGATTGGATGGCCCTGAGTAGAGACCCCCTCACCCCATACTCCCGCAGCACCTCCCACAGTAACTCCCTGGGAACTCGGTCATACGCCTTCTCCAAGTCTACAAAACACATGTAGACCGGATAAGCGTACTCCCAGGCCCCCTCCAGGATCCTTGCGAGAGTAAAAAGCTGATCCGTTGTTCCACGACCAGGACAGAATCCTGGTTAAACTTGATATCAGACTTAATAACTGAAGTCTTGTTTTTAAACAAGGCATCTTAAGCATCTTTTGAAGTCAAAGTCTCTTAAAAACATCTTGTTTTAGAGAAACATCTCCAGCTAACATCAGGAAACAGAATCTAAGCATTTCTGGCTTTTTTTGTTACAAATTCCCTGATTCTGGTCAAATTTAGTTCAAAATAAGTTTCCCCAGCTAAACACAAGATCTCATTTATATAATTATCCCATCTTTACTTCAAGACATCTCACCAAGACATTTTGTTCTTGTTCTATTGGCTGATTTGTTCACTTATTAAAATAGAAAACACCTTGTTTTTATTATATATTGACTTGTTTTTGGAGCAGCATTTCTTCCAGTGCAGCGCTCTGCTCAACACAAAGTGTATAGTCTAGTTTCCAGCTTGGTGAACCAGGAAATGTGAGGACTCCAAAGTTTTATATTAGAAATGTAGAGTAGGGTCTCCAGCTCATAGAAACTGCCGGATGCTAACCTGCAGATGTTGGGACATTTACCCAATTAGCATAAGTTGAATTAAAGGTGGGGTAGGTAAGTTTGGAGAAAGCAGCTCGAGTGGCTAGAATTTGAAAATACACAACCGGAACAAATCTGCCCCTTCCTCACAGAGCCCCTCCTCCAACACACACGAACGCACACATGACCAATGAGGGCACGAGGTAAGTTTGTACCCAGATGGAAGGCTGACAGGCAGGTAGGCCATCCAGTTACTTTAGCCGGCTCAGATGATTGGTCGTGCTTTTTACAGCTCCACGGCTTCCAGAGATGATATGTTTTTATGGACTTTTTGTCAAAGCACTTCAGATATTCATTGCTATCGGGATGTTAAGAGCATTCCATGGAATATAACAAAAAGTGTATCTCGAGCCGGTTTCTCAAACGTACCTACCCCACCTTTAATTAGCATTAATGGAGACAATAGTTGAAAATGGCTTGGAGGTTACTGAGTCCATTTCTGACATTTTCAGGATCAACAATCTCAGTTTTAAGCAGAAAGAGGACACATCTGTTCTCTGTTGGCTGATTTGAATACATGTTGGGTCGATTTGGAAGATGTAGGGGACTCTGGATGATCTGGATTGAACAGATTGCTTATTTATTTGAAGATAAAGTGTCCACAGTAGAGGTAATCATGTTCATCTTGTGCTCTCTATATCCAATGGTACAACTCTACTCATGGTAGCCAGAATCAGTCCACAGATAGTACAGATATGACCACTCTCTGGTTGAAACTGACATTTATGATCTTGAAAATGTCAGAAATGGATTCAGCATCCTCAATAACCCCAATAAGCACTCCAGAAATGTCAAAATCAGCCAAGCCATTTTTTAACTATTGTCCCCATTCTTTAATGCTAATTAACGCAACTAATGCTAATCGTTCAAATGTCCCAACATCGGCAGGTTAGCATCCGGCAGTTTCTATGAGCTGGAGACCCTACTCTACATTTCTATCATTACACTTTGGGGTTCTCAACATTTCAGGGACTACCGAAATAAACCATATTTAATTGTATCTTAATTTACATTATTTAATTTCATATTCTGTTCTTATACATATCATATTCTATTTACATGTAGGCTATATAGACTTCTTGCACTATTTTGTATTTTATTATATATGTTTCATTGTGGGAGGAGCTCAGGTCAGAAGAATGTCATTGACATGTCTACACTGTAGCTGATGAGCATATGACGATAACACCTTTGAATCTTACATGTGGACAGACTATACATTATAGTTTTTAAAGCAAACACATTATGTATTTTCTCGTCCCTCCTGCAGGCGTCTGTCTCCTCAAGAAGGACCCCGGGCCCTGTCGGGACTTCAAAGTGAAGTGGTTCTTCAACAGCAAGCCGAGGAGATGCTCTCGCTTCAAGTACGGAGGCTGAGAAGGGTGAGAAGAAGAGGAGAGGGAGAGCGCAGGACACGATGAAGAAATCCACCGTGACTCAGGAATATCTTTAGCCTGCAAAACACACGAGGGAAAGTTCAAACTGCTCCAGCTCTCATCAGGATTTTGAGTTTTTGTCTTCAACATTCGTGTTGCTCGAACACCTTTGGAGCTCTCTGAAAACAGTCAGGATTCAGAGACTTTCAAGGACAAAATAAAACGGTTTACACTCAAACCTGCAGGGGAGGAGGACCACAGAGGAAGATCTTTAAATGAAGTGTGGGCGCCCCCTGCTGCTGGAAGTGAGGAACACATCGGTGTAATCTGAAGTACTGTATTTAACCATTTATAAGAATAAAACCTTGAACATACGGCTGGATTTGATACTTTATCACCATAACCTGAAACCTTCTGGGTCATCAAACATGTTTTATTTTGGAGTAAAAGTCCTTGTCTGTTAAAAGTCAGATGAATGAACAATATTTCCAGGGATGGGAATTTACTAAATGTAACACGTTTCAATCACTAGTCGTCAGTAATGTAATCTAAGTAACAAGATATACAAGTAATGTATCCTGATTACTTTGATATCGTGGTACTTCTGTTACTTTTGCATTACCTCAATATCAAACATGCAAATATAGACAATAGAAAATGAATGGTATTGTGACAACAGAAAGGAGAAGACAAAATATTCAGTTTTAAAAATGTTATTCAATGTTTTTTAATTAAAAACATACATTTGGCAAATCAAGGCAGTACAGAAACTGAACAAAATAAAGATTGACTTTAATGAAGTGCATTATGTCAACAGGTTCCACGTCACTGTATTAGGTTAGTTGAAAGCAATAAGTTGAACCTAATATTCTGTATTTAAACTGAATATTATTGCCTCAACTACAGCTCTGTGAATCCTGGTAGTAATCGCCAGTTTAAAAATGTAGCTTTAAAGGATAACAGTTACATTTCTTCTGTATCCTAATTACGTAACGCCATGACATGTGTCCTGGTACTCCCCAAACCTGCAGCTAATGTGCATATCTGAACCAGAACCAATGTTTGAGCCAATGAGAGGACATGTAGGTCCAATCATTCCTTTGTCTCATTGGTTGGAGTGGATAGGACTCCAAGAGACAAAGATGTATTTCGACTTGTGGTCCAGGAAAAGCTCTTCAACATGTTTTCATTGTTAACGTTCCTAATCTGTGTAATCCTTTGGAGCTTCAGGCTGTCAAGGGAAAGGTTTTTATTGAGACCAAGAGAGACTAACCCTGCCAACAACTCCAGACTATTGGAAAGGAAGCAGACATTTGTATCATGCCAAATAAATGATAAGTGTCGCAGAGAGATATCCACGTTAAGACTAACAGAATGTAAGACATTACAAACAACCAGCCGTAACAAGGTCAGCCTGCTGTCAGTGAAGAGGAGCTCGAGACGCACTGAAGTCTGTCCAACGAGGTCCAACGAGTCTGAACATCTGTGGCTGAGCGTCCACATCAGGGGTTCTCACAGTGAAGTGTGGTCTGTCAGCGACCCCTAGTGGTCCGTGAGTATATTGGTAACATTTCACATTTGAAATAAATAAATAATAAATCCAAAGTGTTTCTCAAATTGTTTAAAAATGACTAGTATAGGAGGCAACGCAGATGCCCGTAGAATGTGTAGTTGTATTGTTGATTTGATGTGTGAACGAGGCGATATAGAGAAGTCATGATTGGGCTGTAATGTGTTATAAACTGTTGGTGAGCAGGCCGCTTGTTTTCGGATATTTGTGGAGTTAGGTGGTCCGTGTGTTTTATTGGTTAAGTGGTCCTAATGAAAAAGTGTGAGAAACACTGGTCTACATTAAGGTTGATGTCTCGCACATGATCAGGTTTTATCTTCCAGAGATTCCGGATTCTTCCTTTGGAGACCTTGAACATCCTCAACACACTTCAGGATAATCTCATCCATGCTGAAATACGTGGATCTGGACCAACGGGAACAACTAAGACGTCTTTAAGCTGCCAAACACACTATAAAGTGCTCGACCTTCATTACATCTGCAGCTTATTGGCAGGAAGTTTAAAAAACAATTAGAACTATTGTTTCTGTGAGTTTAAGTCCATTTACTGCAAATCACAGATAACTTTCCAATACCACAAATTGTTTTTCAGAAGTAGTTTCTTTTATTTTCACCTTATCTCTACGAAACTCAGCTTGCAGAGAAAATAAGTACTTCTACTTTTACTCAAGTACAAGATCTGAGTACTTCTATTTTCATTAAATACAATCTCTGAGTACTTCTATATATTATAATCCGTCAGTATTAATTACAGCCAACATGTGTCTCTGGAACGTCTCTGATTGGTCGCTGCGACACCAGACAGAAATCCCAAACAGCTGATTGGACGAGGTACAGTTGGACAGATCTGGTCTTGATTCTCACAGAGAGATCAGGCTGTGGATGCACTCGGTGAATTGTTCAGCTTGTTATATTTTACGATCGTCTGGCGGAGCCGAGGTTCATGTGAGGTCTGGACAGGACTCTGAACATGACCACAGAGGGTTTGAGTGATTCGTCCTTTCACCTCCAGTCAAGTCTCGGAAATCATTTCACTTTTGATCTGATCTGACGTCCCGATGCTTCTTTCTATGTCTATGTTTTGCTGTGGGGATTCAGGAGTTTTTGGATTTGAATCTGAACGCATTCAGAGCATGACGCGTCACAATTGACCGTGGAAAGAGCAATTTGACAGCAGATGTAGGCCCAATCCCAAACCACGCCCTACACCCTACCCCTACACACTCCCCCTCCGTGACGGAGTGAACTCCGTGGAGTGACACATGAGGCTCCCTCCTGTCGGATGGAGGGAGTTTACCTTTTTCTAGACTAAACACAGGTTTGATCATAAGTTAAAAACATATGAGGTTATCATGAGGTTGTTAACATCGCAGTTTATCAGTGGATGTTTGCTGGAACTACTTGTTAACAGCTTGTTTCCTGACGGACACACACAGCGTGACTCCGGTCAGGTAGAGACTGGTCTCAAGTCAGCATCGCTGCAGACTCGCTGTTTGAGGGCTTGATAGCCCACTCCCCCTCCACACCACTCCACACTCGTTGCTTTGGAACAGCCCTCAATATGGCGGACCCTCCGCGTGAACGTGCAAACGGAGGTGTAGGGGGCGGTTTGGGATTGGGCCTTAATGTGGCGAACGCGCAAACGGAGGAGTAGTGTGTAGGTCAGGGTTTCCGTTAGCCGGTAATTACCGGTTTTTAGCTGGTAAAATTTATTAAAAACCGGTAAATTCAAAACCTGCCGGTCAAAATGTCTGGTAATAATAAGGGACGCTTCGATAGATCGGCCGCCGGTCATTATCGGCCGATATTCACTCTTAATAGTTTGATCGGTGCCGATCAGGAGAGCTGGATCTGATCGATATGGACATAAACGCGAGTGAAATATAACCGGACGCGAGAGAGAGATCAGAAACTGACGGGCTGTCAGAGAGAGAGGGAGGGAGAGAGGAAAAGAGAGGATCCGTTTCTCCCGTGTTATTATTCAAAGTTAATTTAAACTTTTGAATAATGTACTTCATCTACTACAAGTAGTTTCTTTGAATGTAATACTTATGTTGTTTGTTGTTTGTGGAATCATTTATTGAAAAATGAATCTGAATTTTTCGATCTGTTACGATTATAAACTGAAGCAATATAAAAATGAGCCCCGTTAACTGAGTTTTAAACATCAGCATATCTGCTCATAGTCCGGTAATTACCTGCTAACGGAAACTCTGCTACACAACTCTTATCATTATTATTGAAATATGACCGGTAAGTTTCAAATGTGTCCGGTAAAATAAATTCTGCCCGGACATTTGACCGGCGAGAAAAAATCCTAACGGAAACCCTGGTGTAGGTGTAGGGGTAGTGTGTAGGGGGCGGTTTGGGATTGGGCCATAATGAGAGGGGTCTGCCTGCAGGCCTCCACTGTCAGGACAGTTCCGGTGTAGGCTCCACTCTCAGTACAGGAAGTTAGGATTCTGACGAACACTTTTTTCCCCCCGCCCCCCGAAGGACTCGTTTTCAAATCACAATGGAGACTCATCACGGAGGTGATGAGTCCTCTCACCATGCACTTTGGGTCGGCCTTGGTCAAGCCCTTTTGACACCCCCAGCCTGGTTCTCGTAAAAGTTGACTTTGCCCGCCTCACAAGGGCCTATTTTCAAGGACACTTTTTTTCACTTTATTTTTTTGGCTATTTCACCCGGTTCCTCACACCGGGGACACTGCCCGGTCTCGGGTGTCCCCCCACAGCCTGTGTCCAGCCGTTCCCCCCCCCCCCCCCACTCATCCATATATTAACGGATTTTGACAATTTTTGTTGCATTTTTCTCCTCTCACTGATCGAATGGCAAAAGGAGGCCCTCCACCGGCCCGGCCTAATGCCGGTGCTCTGGCGGTCGGTTCCTCCGAACTGCGGGTTCGACTCTGATGGCCGGGAGGGTGTGCTGCGTTGGGGTGAGGGACTTCCCCCACTCTGCGTGTCTCTTCTCTTCCTTCCTGCCGATATGAAGCGTGACCAAGACGCACCGTCTGACTCAGGGGCCCCACCATGGGTCCCGCAGCGGGGTGGAGGTTCCCGGCTGGAACCTCCCAACCTTTGCCGCGGTGCACCCGGCAAACACGGTTGTTTCTAGAACCCTCCACTGTTGTCTAGCGGGTGTAACTAAAATACAAGATGTCGTTATTTATATATATAAATATATATATATCTATATATATAGATATAATAAGTGTCAGTGCGATTTTATTTTTGTATTAGCGTGCATTTCCTGTTGGGAAAGTAGTGCTGTACTGATAGTGGCGATTTTATTTACTTAGCGTGCATGCACTTCCTGTCCTGAGAGTGGAGGTGTCCTGAGACTGGCGCCTGCAGGCAGGCTCCCATGGATATAATACATGTTCTACTTCTGGGGTTTTAAAAGGATATAGAGCCAACCAATGGAGAGAAGCAGCCAGCATCGGTGCTTCACCTCAGAAAGTTGGTCATAAAAGCCATAATTGGGCTAATGTAACTTTATCACCATCATTTTATGAGTTTTCTGTTCCACGATGTTAACATGTAGTGATATGGTAGGGGGAATAAGGCCTCTTACATATCAGAAACAAATGTTCACAACAATATAAAATAAATGGTAGAGAGGTAATTACTGAGAAAACAATAACTTGTCCTTTGAAATAATTATATTTTTTTATTCTTTTAATGTCTTTGTAGTGGCCATTTTCACAATTCTCCAGGTTCCTTGGCCACTTATGGCGCATGTCCACTACAGCTCGGAGCGGCCTGTTTTTGGTTGTGTTTCCACCAGGCGTAGTTCCGG